CATCGTCATCGTATAGTCGGAACGCAACAAGATTTTATTACCATTTCTCCTTTTTGTCTCCTCATTCCTATTGCAAACTCAGCCACATAAATGGCGTTTTAAAAATATATGTCAATATTGCCGAAGTGCCTTTCCTAGGATACTTTTTTTAAGCCTAGTTCGTTTGATTACATGTAATTGATTTGATAGTCCTCAACAGATATGTATTGATTGTAGGTAGGATAGCAGGTGTTGGTAAATATGATGAGTCGGTAAGTAGTCTCATTATTCCTAAATCTGCGCCCTTCATTCGTGGACATCCTAAGGGCATTTTTTCTCTCGGGGCATCCTACCAATTTAACTTGGGAATGCAGTTAATGAGAGAGCCTTTGGATAAAGCCAGCGCAACTTTGGAGTTGAGATTTAGGTTCTTGTACCTCGTTGCTATCTTTATATATGTGTTTGACCTTGGCATTAGTTTCGTTCGGTATTGGTTAGTACTCGGATCTTTGTAAGTCGGGAAATACCTCTGATGGCTTTTCTAGCAATCCTGATCTAATTAATACGTTCTCGTTACATATCCACACATTAGCACTGGTTCACTGTTTTATATATCCTGATTTTAGAGATTTATATTAGGCTTCTGGATTTAAAAGTGTTATAAGGGTTCTATATACATTAGTTAGCTACCTGAATTTTCCCTTTTATTTCTTATGTGACAACGTTATCTACGATATCTAAAACGCTGCAATCTTTCAAAATTATATAGCTTTATTGTTACGTTATGCCTTACTCTACATCTTTTCTTTTGTATGTTAAAAAACATTTATTTGATTTTCTCATTAGTGACTATTATACCGTTTTTGCTGCTAGTAGCATTATTTTATAGCATTCTTATATTTAATTTATGGATTATATTCGGATAGCAAATAAATATTCTTTACTTTCTCGGAGAAATAATATTCTAACACACAAAATCCTATTAAATTGCCAAAAACCTCCGTACATATTCTATTCACTTATGAGGGCAGTATAGTCCTGGACTGGCTAATTTTTGGATAATAGAAAACATGAGTGTAGCAGTTTTAATGTTTTCGGGACTGCTACTTGGTATCGGGGAGCAGAAATATCATAAAAAGGTATTGCATATAGGAATTGATACTTGAACTTTATTATTATTAAACAACACTATATTTCCTTGTAAAATCATTATGACTTTACAGTAAGACAAATTTTCGATGTTGGTTATGAAAACATCATGTACATACCACCGGGTTCCCTATGTCGATCTCCAGAAAAATCTTTGTAATAATGATACGCGAAACAAAAAACCAAGAATAAAAATATGCGCCAAGAAACTCTGTGATATAACAGTTGAATAAAATACAGATGGTCGATTCAAATAGTCAAAAAATTAATGAACAGCTTACTAAAATGGAAATATCGCCTATTTAAGATGTAATTCATTAAAGGCCCAAGGTACAAAGCACTCCTAGCATATGCTAATGACATAGATCTCATAAGAAACTCTCCCGTCCGCAAACATCTTCAATAAAGTAAAGAGAGCACGAAAAATCAACGAAATGAAAACCAAATACAAGCAAATCAACAGAAAAGACCAATTTAATAAATCTAGATAAAATATTAAAGTTAACAACTACAATTTCAAAAATATGGAACACTTTAAATATCTTAGATAAATAATCACTGTTAATTATAATGTCAATAACTAAATACTTTTAGCATAAATCAAATTTTAGAGCTATTTTAATACATGGATGCGAATCATTGACATTGACTAAAAAAATAAGGAAGAAGTACGAATATTTGAAATAAAAATAATTATAAAAATGTTTTAACCTCATTATCATACGCTACAAATCCGTATAGAATAAGAACCCATACTGAATAAAGAAAGCTTTTATAACGATATTGTTCAGAAAAATAAATCGCTTAAGGTAGATCGGATACATGCATAGACGCCAATATATCAAACTTGTAAAACTGGTATGGAAGGAAGTTAGCACAGAAGAAAGAATGCCGCTTAGGCGTCTAAGTAAGCAATGGAGAGAAAACATCCAATTATATCTCAAAATATTAACATTTTATTTGATTACAGATTCGTGGAAAATCGATCAACTTGGAGAAAATTTGTAGTTAGCGAAGACCCACCCAGTGTTGTAGCGCCACGTAATGATGATGATAATGAAAAAGGAGAAATAGTGACAAAAAGTAATAAAAATGGACCAATGGAGCAAACCTGCTTTAAAATCTTGATTGGAGAGGATTAAAATGAAAGTATAAGAAATACAATGAATGATTGATGGATTCGAGAAACTTGAGACTTGAGAAAAGCACACTGACGTGTGTATCCATATTAAATTCCTTAGATTGTTATACTTTTTTTTAGACTTTTATACTAATAGCTTTAAAATTGAATGTTTGGTGAAAATAGCTACGCTACTTTAATGCATCAAATATTTTGTTAATTAAAAATCAACATATTGAAATTAAGACAGCAAAAAATTATAATATTAAAGATTAATTTATAAATTATTATAGTCTAATTTTAACTATTTCATGAAACAAATATTACACGCCATAAACTGCAGTAATTGAAAAAATAATAAAGATCTTACAGAAGAGTTTTTTAAACTGTTAGACGATTACGCTACTCGATGTTCATATTAATAGGTTCCAAAATGTACCACCTATAAAATTTAAAAATCTACTACTAATACAATTATTGGCAACATCGCAGGAGTTAAGAAGTGTACGGGAAAAGTTATATACGGATCCCAAAACTGTTTGATCCTATTACGGAGTCCACTTGATCCGACGTATTGGTCGGAGTCTACATAAAGCGCTACTCAGATAATAATATACACGGCGTATATTCTCCTGGAGTTAGTATAATACCGTTTTAGTACGGAGCCCATATTAACCGCTAGAAGTATATATATATATATATATATATATATATATATATATATATATATATATATATATATATATATATATATATATATATATATATTTTTATTTCTTAATCAAAAAGGATGTATTACGGAATATGTTCATTTTGCTTATGATATTCTCGGAGCTGTTATATCATTTAAATTAAAAAAGGGCCATATACTGTGATAGATACGACTCTTTTGCATTTTTTATGGCAGTAAAATGTTATTATAAAGTAAAATGCAGTTTTTTTCATTTACTTGTATATTGTATTCATTGTGATAGTCTAACATCTTATTTTAATATAATTCAGAAATTTGAATATCATATTACACAACGTGTTTATTTCCAATTTTAATTGAGAGCGTAAAAAATACCGTGTATCGTATTTTGTTTTGGACATTGTATGATATGAATATGTATTTTGCTACTCCGCAAATTAGTTCATAATGTAAGCAATCATTTAGGTACTTGAATTTATCGTACGTAAACAAAATATCCTTTTTTGAGTTGCTTCCCGTGGATATCAAGTTATTATTAATGGGACTGATTGTCTTTTATTTTAATTTTGTTTAGGCTTCGTAATACCATAGTGAAAAGTAATCACATTCTTATCTCGAAAAAGAAAATATTATGTATAACGATCACATCACAGCTGTATAGGGAAATAAATTACTTTTACTTTTAAACGCTTTTAAGTAAAGTACATAATTTTTAATTGTAATTAATTTGTTCCCAGCTCTGATATCTGAAGTCTATATTTATGTATTTATATAAAACCAAAATATTTTACTTGTGCAATTCTAATAAAAAGAGAAATCTGAGATTGTTAATTGTACACCCCCGTTGTTTGGGTTATTCAATCAACGGTTTTACTTAGCAATTCATAATATTACTTACTATTTTTCCCAGTATCTGCCATAGTAAGCATAAAATTAGGATAAACTACTGCTCCTTTTTTTAAATACATAATTTATTTAAAGATTTATTGATATAAAGTTATAAAGTAAAATCGTTTCTAACCGCATTGATGTAACAATTTTCGCACTTTTTAAAAGTTGCAGATTCTTTGAAGTCCATTTACTCATAATTATAAGTATTACAAATGCTGTGGTTTTCCTTAGAATGGCAGTATAGCCATTAAATAAAACAATCTGGTGAGGTGGAGGGAATTTATTAAGGAACTGTTTGATGATAAAAAAACAGAAATTCGAATGGAAAATATATCAACTAATCCAAACATAAGCTCCCGGTTGCTTTTTAAAGAACAGGAAAGCAACCGGGCCAGATGAAATTCTCAGAAATAATCAAACTACTCAACGATAAAGGTAAATTATCTTCTAAACATCTTCAATAAAATATACCAACAGTATGGCTATCGTCAATATATGTAATAATATAAAAAAATCGCTAAAAAATTTTGCAATTATTGCACCTACATTCTGATGAGACATGTATTGAAAATTTTCTTACTGCACTAGAGAATTTACAACAAAATATGAGTAGGGTAATTGATTCAAATATGAGACCCTTTTCTTAACTTTATTTATATAACTTAAAATTCCTTTAGGGTTACAAAACCTTCTAATCAGAGAAGCATTATTCAGTGTGCAGGTCATAATTCAAAAAGAGGAATCTTATGCAATTTCCATTAAAATGTTTATACATTAAAAACTGACTGCGATATAAACGTTTTAAAATCTAAATCATTGTTAAATTACATACACTTTTATTTTTTGGAATATATGTAGAATACAGAATAAATAGAATTTAAGTGTAACTAAAGTATATGCAACCAGCTTAACGAAGTCTTTAAAATCGTTAGTCTGTGCTGCCATCTATTGCGTGATACTTGAATGTGAGCGAAGGATAACTTCCTGTCAAGTAGAAATTTCGTTAACCTCTACAAATATTTAATTACAGATGTCAGTCTCGGACGTTATTTGATTGTAGTTTCACTTTTGTGTCGTGGTAACCAAAACTGGCGGATTGTCTACTAACATAACCTTGCAGTTGGTAGTTAGCATGTTATTATTCATAAATATACAATTAGAAGTGCTAAAATGAAAAAAATAAGTTGTATAGTGCCGGATTGTGGTTCCGTAGATTCCCAAAATGAGGGTGCTAATACAAAGTTCCACCAGATACCTAAAGAAGCCGAAGTGAGGAAAAAATGGTTAAAGGCTATAAAACGTACCGAAGGAGAAGTTAACAAAAGGTCTAAAGTGTGTTCCAAGCATTTTAAAACCGACGATTATGCTATAACCAGGCTCAATTATGGAGTTGGAGGTAAAACTACAGCTTCGGGCTCTAAGAACACCTGTACGAGTATATGGAGGTACTTGTATATTTTCTCTAACCACCCTGTATCTTTTAGGTGAGTTCAAAGCTTTGAAAACGGAGGCGGTGCCTAACATGAACCTGCCGCCAAAATCAACTTTTAAAATTAAGATTAGTAAAAAGGATAACAGCAAGCAAATTAAAGTCGAAGAAATAAAAGTGAAGGAGGAAAAAGTGGAAAAGCCTGAAAGGGTAAGTGTTTGTAATATTTTAATATAGGGGGCTCTGTTATTAAATATTCAATGTAAACTTTTGTTTATACAAATAGATTGTCTATGAAATATTGTTGTGCACTAAAAAAACGTATTCCAGCGTCAATATCCACAAAAACAAAATGACTTAAACCCCTTCCAAAAACATTTCATCATTGTGTATCTGACAAACAGAAATAACGAGTCAGCCAATTGAAAAATCAACTGAAATATTCATTCATCATATAAAAGCAGTTACTGGTCCACTATAATGAATGTTTTTATGACCGGCGTCATCTTTCAAGTATACAATTTACCAGAGTGCTTATTTTCACCAAACGTCGACTTAACTTATTTTTATCAACAAAGACATGCATTGTTAAGCCCAATTTGTGTTGTACTATTCACATTTCGTTCTTTAATTTTTAAAAACATTTTTCATCAAATTCGTCCAAATTGAAAATTTAAATTCGCCGCTGATGGAGATCCCGCCCACAGGCACTGTTGCCAATAATTCTGATATTGTTTGTTGACGATATTTTTGCCATAAAAATAATTTTTACTCATTGTATTTGAAATTAGATCAAATTTAATTTAACACAATTCTTGTTTTCTACTTTTTTCTTCTGCTTTTATTAATATTTGTTTAATTTTTCTGTTTCTGTACTATATTGTTAACAGATGGAAGCCATTTTTATTTTGTTTGTCTTTCATCTACACATTTGATGAATATTTATCATCCAGGTGTATTTAAACGTTTTTCAGTATTCTTAATTACATTTTTGTTATAATTTCTACTATAAATAAAGTAGTTAATTTGATTTATCATTTTTATGGCATCTTCTGCTTTTCCAGATCAGTTTTCTTTGGTATTAAGGGTAGGGGAATGTTGTTTAATTAGAATACTGCTAGATATATTGGGTTTTCATGTTTTTCTTTCCATTGTCAGTAAAAATTGTCTTCATTTTTCTCCCTACCAGTTAATTTACTTCTTTTTGATTGACATATGAGATAAAATTGTAAAAAACATGTTCTTGGAGTTTTATAAGTTTAAATTTTCTGTTCTGGATGACATTTTTTCTTGAATGTATCAGTAATTTTGATAATATTACCTAATCCATCATAAATGAAGTATTATTTCATTGAATACAGTTCTAAACCTTAGTAGTAAAAACCAGAAAACCTTAAATATACTTAGAATGACATAAAAACGAAATTTTTCATATTTTTGAATCTTGAAAGACAAAATCGGTAATTAATTTCTTCTTCTTTCTTTATCCTGTAGTTATTTAAGTGGATATACAAAAACTGGCATTATTTTCTTCCTAATAATTATCAGCAATCTACCATTTCTGTTTGACTGTCATAAATAGCTGTAGTTCAGTTCATTGACATTTTTGGTGCTTTTTATCCAGTCATACCATACCATTTTCATACCAACTATGTTCTTTAATCTGATAAAACACCATAATACTTTATAGACCATAGGAAAAGGTGCTAAAGATTTTGTGAAACTAACAAACTTGTATTTCCTCTTCCTTTTTCAATGCTGAATTTTAATAAGCAACTACAACTTTTCTTATCAATTAATATACTTTTAAACAATTCCAAACAACTACGAATTGTATTTTTACTATATTATTAAAATTTTATTATTATTTCCTAGATAATTATCTTTGTTAAGCGACAAAACTAACTGCTGCTTTAATTGGGTTTTTCTTCATTAAATATAATTCCATTCTTTTGTATATTATCCCTAATGTGCAATAGTTTGAGTCTTAATTGAGAAATCATCAATAACCTTTTCATTTGCCCCAGAATAAAGTGATATTTAAGTTCATTATACGACAGTTGGATTCGGTTCGTCAAAGCGAATAGACGTGCGATACTTAAAATCTAATTAACGAAATCGGTGTTATCACCTTATAAATAAAAAACTAGTTTTATTCATATAAAAATTACACATATCGATTTAAAATAAAAAAGTAAAGTTTAAGTGGTTTAAAGACCATGAGTGTTACTAGCGGGGGTAGAAAACCCCCCGAAAAAGATGAGTTGGAAGGTGTTATGGATGTGTCCCATCCGGATCTTCCACCTTCTCCAGTGGAGGAATTTAGAGGATTTCAAAATATCAACCCTATTACACAGATAAGTACTGATAATGTTTCTGAAATTGTTTCCGAAAAAAATTTAAACGTAAACACGGTCATTAACACAATAAATCAATATTCTCCAAAAGATAATGGGCCATTTTTTGTTTATATTCAAAGTAAAACAGGTAAAATAGGCAATTTACATAAAATAGCTACGGCTAGACTAATAATTAATGCGATACCAGAAATTAAACATGATATAGCTAACATATCAGTAATAGGAGCTAATAAAATAAAGGTTGAATTAACTTCTTATGCAAGCGCAAATAAATTATTAACAGCACAGTCATTAAAGGATAAACAATACGATACATACATTCCAATGTTTTTTACTCACGTAAAGGGAGTCATAAGGCAAATAGATTTAGAATTATCGGAACAGGAATTAAAGGAAATTATTAAACCGAAATTAGGATATAATTTTAAAGTAAGTCACGTAAAAAGAATTTCACGTAAAAATGACAAAAATGAAATTGTTCCAACAACTACAATTATAGTTACATTTAGAGGTCAACTTTTACCCACTAGGGTAGTAATAGAAAAAATGGTGTATGAAGTCGAAAAATACGTGCCAAGAGTAATGCAGTGTCTTAAATGTCTAAGATACGGCCATATTAGTACACAGTGTAGATCAAAAGAACGCTGTCAAAATTGTGGAGAAGATCATAAAGTAGAAAGTTGCCAAAAAAATGAACCAATATGCATTTATTGTAAAGAAAAGCATTGCGCCACTGATAAAAAAAATTGTTCAGAATTTAGTAGACAAAAGAGTATTAAAAAAACTATGGTTTATGAAAATTTATCATACACTGAGGCTTCTTCTAAGCACGAAAGAAGTTTTTCAAGTGTAGCAAAAACTGACACAAATTCAAACCGGTATACCGTTACTTTAAAAAGAAAGAGGTTGGCTATAACCCCAGAGATCGATGAAACATTTGAAAAACATAAAGAAATCATTTCAAATCCAAAAGTTTTAACAGAACCTGTTTTCAATAAATTTAAAAATATACCAAATTATAATAATACTTGTGATGGTAGTAGCACTTTAAGTAAACAGATAAAAACTTGCGAATCAATATTAAATCTTATCAAAGATGTTTTAACTTTTTCAAATGTAGAAATTAAAAATAGTACACTTATTGAAAATATAAAAGACAGTATAACGCAAATTCTGTCAGACTATGAGTAACTTAAATATACTGCAATGGAATGCTAGATCAATTTTGTGTAATAAAGGTCACTTTGAAAAATACATTTTCGATAATAAGATTAATGTAGTGTTGCTTTCGGAAACCTGGTTAAAGGAATCTTCACATTTTTTTATTAATAATTTTAATATATTTAGACACGACCGTAATGACGGTTATGGAGGAGTTGCAATCTTATTAAGAAAATACTTTACCTTTTTTCCTAAGCCAAAATTTACTCCAATAAAGTCCGTGGAATGTGTGTCGGTATCAGTGTCAATAAATAAAAATATCAAAATCCATCTATACTCTATATACGCCAAACCAAAACTAAACATTAGTGAAACAGATTGGGTTACTTTTTTTGATAGCCTAGAAAAGCCATTTTTGGTAGGAGGTGATTTCAATTGTCATCATACTGCATGGGGAAATAGTTATTCAGATATATCGGGTTCAAGACTTCTCGGTGCTATAGAGGAGTGTAACTTAAATTATTTAAATACAGGAAGCGAAACATTAATACCTAGATTTGGAAGTAATAATAAATCTGCTGTAGATATAACAATATGTTCTAGAGATATAACTTTAAATTGTGATTGGAAAACTGATATTATACCATTAGGTACTTCCAATCATTTTCCTGTTCTAATTGAAACACATTTTAATACTACTCAAGTATCCTTTAAGTGTAAAAATAAAGTTAATTTAAATAAAGCTGACTGGTCCCTGTTCTCTCAGATAGTATATGAACAATTAGATGAAAGTAATAACGAAAGATCTTATACAAATTTTATAGAGTCACTAAATCATGCTACAAAACTAGCAATCCCACAGAAGAGAACAGAGATCAAATCAGAATTTAGCAAAGTTTGGTGGAATCAGAGATGTGCAAATGCCATTAAATGTCAACAAGAAGCTTTCTTGCTTTACAAAAGGCAGTCAAATTTAACTAACTATTTAAAATATAAAAATTCAGTAGCAGTCGCAAAAAAAATAATATTACAAAGCAAAAAAGATTCTTGGCAAAATTTTTGTAAACAACTTAACAGAAACACACCTATAAAAGATATATGGAAATATATAAAGAAAATAAAAAACACATTTAATCCTCCAAAAAATAGGATCCAGGTAGGGGAGTGGGTAGAAATGTTCTTCAATAAAATTGCTCCAAGTTGGGTGGAAACAAATATTCGGCCGATTAGTTCACTGAGCACGGATGATATAGATAGGGAATTCTCAAGTATGGAAATAAAACAAAGCCTCAAAACTAACAATAATACAGCGCCCGGAGTGGATAACATTTATTATAAAATGCTCGCTAGTTTATCTGAATCAAGTATAGAAATTTTTCGCAAAATAATAAATACAACATGGAATAGGGCAGAATTTCCAACAAGCTGGAAGGAATATTCAGCAATTCCAATTCTAAAGCCAAATCGAGATGCGGAAGATCCAGATTCATATAGAGCAATTTCTCTAGCTTCTTGTGTCTTAAAAACTTTGGAAAGAATGATCAAAGTCAGACTAGTTCATTGGCTTGAAACCAATAAAAAATTACCTAAATTGCAGTTTGGCTTCAGAAGAGGATGTTCAACCATTGAAAATATAGGTAACCTAGTAAGTGATATAAATATCGCTTTTACTAACAACAAGTCACTTCCAGCAATTTTTGTTGATATAGAATCAGCATATGATAATGTAATATTAGACATTCTCTATGAAAAAATGGAAAAAATGGGAATTTCTCAAGCTTTGACCTCACGTATCAGATTACTATATTCCGATAGAATAGTTTCAATAAATATAAATGATGAAATATTGGGCCCTAAAACTACCAATATTGGGTTACCACAAGGAAGTATACTAAGCCCTGTACTATACTTAATATACACAGCAGATCTGGAATGTAAAATTAAATGTGAGACCATTTCTATACTACAATTTGCCGATGATATTTGTATATATTCACCATGTCAATATATTGAAGAAGGGTGCAAAAAATTAAATATAGCGTATAAGAACCTCAATAAATGGTGTAATGAAAATGGTCTAAAAATTTCCAGGAAAAAAACAGAAGTTTGCATTTTCACGAGAAAAAGAAAAAACATTCCAACCGAAGTAACATTGGATACAACAAAGTATAGTGTACGTGCATCAGTAAAATACCTAGGAATGTATCTAGATAAAAAAATGACATGGAAAAATCACATAGATTATCTAATCAAGAAAACAGAAAAAGGAATTAACATCTTACGGTCAGTATGTGGAACAAAATGGGGATCAGATCCAAATGTAGCAATCCTTCTGTACAAATCCTACATTAGGTCAATACTGGATTATGGTTGTTTCTTCTACGACCAAGCTTCAAAAAGTCAACTAGAAAAAATAGACCACGTAGTAAATAAGTGTCTAAGACTATGCCTAGGGGCTTTAAAAAGTACACCGATTGATTGTTTATTTGCAGAAGTAGCGGAAACTCCACTAAAATATCGCCGAAAGATTTTAGCTTCCAATTTTATAGCTAAATTAAGCTCCAAAAAAAGCGACTTAGTCCAAAAAATTAATATACTGTTCACATCGGATCTTACCCATAGTTATTGGAAGTCAAAAAAAAGTTTAACTATTACAGAGTCATATTGTGTAATACATAACGTAATAGAAGAAATACACTCTTCAGATATAGATCCATTATATAGTATAAATATTTACAATATCCATCCAATTAACTGTGTTTTTCTCCAAGATTATTCAAAATTTCACCCAAGAATTAGACAATACATATTTAAGCAAGATTTAGAAAAGTATCTTCCCAGATGTCAATATATATTCACTGATGCATCAAAGAGTAACAATAAAGTAGGTTGCGCTATATTTGATTCACATAATAACATAAAAAAATCTTATAAATTAAATGAAAAACTAACAATATATACGGCAGAATTAATCGCCATATTAGAAGCTCTTCTATATATAAGTAATATGAAAGTTACAGAAGAATCATTTGCAATTTGTTCAGATAGTAAAAGTGCTGTTATCAAAATAAAAAATATCCACCAGGTCAATAGTAATTATATTTTTACCAAAATAATTACTAAACTTCATGAACTACAATCTCAAAAAATTAATGTATCACTTGTTTGGATTAAAGGGCATTGTGGAATAAAAGAAAATGAAGAAGTAGACGAAGAAGCTAAAATAGGAAGTAGAACAGGAGAATATTTAAAGTATAAATGTCCTCACAATGAAATTGCTCGCCACGTAAAGCCCATATTACTGACAGAATGGAGAGAAATGTATAGAAGCAGTCCAAAAGGAAAATTTTATAAAAACATAGTTACCGAGCCTCCTAGCCAATCTTGGTTCTCAAGACTGTCGGGAAGTAAGCGGTTTTTCTCTGTATTGTGCAGATTAAGGTTCAACCATGTTTTAACTCCGCAGTATAAATATAAAATAAAATTAAGTGATTCTCCTAATTGTCCATGCGGAGAAGAAGGTACAACAGAGCACATGATATTAGGCTGTCCTAAAATAAGTAATGAAGTAAAAATATTAAATGAAGAAATAACCAAAATACCTAAAATCATCCAACCATATAACCTAACCCAATTATTAAGTTCAGAAGATTGTAATATTTATCAAATTTTGTATAAACATATTTTATGTATTAGATTAAGTTTATAACCTATGTTTTTTTTCCCTTCGTGCAAAGCCCTAAGTCTATCCGAGGTCCACCTGTCTCGTCTAAATGCTCTGATCGACCCCTGAGCGTCAAATTGTATCCTAGTCTAATATCCCAAATTATATAAGATAAAAAGATGAGAAAAAATAATATTTATATTTATGTATATATGTATAAATGTATGTATAAAAAAAAAGAAAAAAAAGAAAAAAAAAATAATAAAATAAATAAATAAATAAATAAAAAAACACACAACAAAAGTAAATAATTCAAAACAAGCTGAATATATGTTGAATTATTGTAAAATTAGATATATAGGAAATAATTCTTTGTAAAATTAGAGCAGGACTATGATTGTATAGCAAACGAGAAGAAAGCAAGGAGCACTCCTTTATTGTTTCCGAATAAAAATACAAAATTATCCCATAAAGGTAAGATGGCGAATGGACAGAGTCTCCGAAGCCAATAATGCACAAACTCACACACACACACAAGTTCATTATACATTTATACATAACTAAGAAATGTTCTTCCATGTTCTTTCGAATTTTTATAATTTCTTTGTTTCATTTCCACATGTTTATTAACTTATATTTCAGTTTAAGCTCAATAATATGTCAATACAATTAGTTTTTAGGTTGTTTGTTACATTCTGTGGTTAATTCTTTTTTTTCTTTGACCCATTCTACCTTAAATGTCTATAATATCGCATATATTGTTACCACATATCGAGAAAACAAATAAAGGCGTGGCATGAAGAAACCCAAACATTAAATAATAACAAATCTGAATCATATTATCTCAAGGACGTATATATCCACTCTATTCAGTTAAACTGAATCATAGTTCATAATACATATTTAATATTTCGAAGAACTTTGTATGTATCAGGATTTTCTATAGAAAAAATGACAAAACAATAAATATTAAACATAAAAATTTCTCTAAAATAATTTATCCATATTTACGAAATTTTCTCTCACATCGGCAACGTAGCCAACGCAGTAGCGTTTTGACAGGACGTTTCCAAGATGGACGGCTCGCCGGCCAAAGCAAAATAAAACAGCATCCTGTTTGTTTATTTACATGGAAACTTGGAAAATATGAAAAAAGTACGCATATTTGTCCACAAAAAATCATTCTATACCCAAAAATATGATTGTGCTAGTGCTTGTTTCATCATTTGTGATATATTACACCACAAGTTGATTTAGCGCCATAATTAATTTAATATTTTTATGAGCCTTTTTCTTTCTAAAACCGATCTTGTTGTTGCTTAAAGTTTAAATAAAGGTTTGTAATGACTTTTTTAAGAAGTTTAGAAAAGTATTACTTATTTGCCCCACCTACAAACTTGCAGTTTCAGCCTTTTTTTTGTTAAATGTTAATTATTTATGATTTAATGCCCCTTTTTACTAAAAAAAATATCTGCTTATTTTGCTGGATAGACGTCTATGTATTCTTCTGTTAATTTTGGCTTATAAAATGTATCAATTTGTTTGTTATTGCCTCTTTTTGAGGTTAAGTTTGTTTATCTTATTTGTTTATAAGTTTCAATGTCAGTGCATGGGTTGGAGTAGGGTAGATTTTTTTATTTTATCTCTGGCTATTAGTGGACCTTAATTTGTTATGTATGCCATTGTGTATTTTGTGGTTGACTATTATTCTCCCACCTATCTTAATTTTTGCTTGCCATGCTTTTGTTGTCTGCTGTCTTCCTCCTTCATCCTTCTTTTCAAAACTATTCTGTAAGCTAGAGCTATATCCTTTTACTTGTCCCAATGTTTTAACAATATCTTTACAATGAGCCCTACTTTTAGAAAATCTGGATCATTCCAAACAATGTTTCTCTATATTCCAAATCCAGCATTAAAGATCACACAAGAAACTATTAGCACATAATAACATTCTTTACTAGATATGTGTAAAAAAAGGGTGTGCAAGATTTTATATAGATATCTTTTGGTTTATTTTTGATAGAATGCACATCTCTCTTTTATAAATATCCTTTTGTAGTGACAACAATATACAGAGGTAAAAAATGGTATGACTGCCTGCATAAACAACTAAATACAATCTTCTTCTTGATGTGCCTATCTGTTGCGAATGTTGGCAATCATCATGGCAATCTTTATCTCATGTGCAGCAGCGCGAAAAAGCTGCACAGATGTTGTATTGAACTACATTCTGAGGTTCTTTTTCTTCCTACCTCGATTTCCAAATATTTTTTCTTGCAGGATGGCTTGAAGTAACTACAATACATGTATAACAATATCCTCCTCCTTCTCAGTCCTAAGCCCTTTTAGGATGTGGTGAAACCATCAGGCCTTTACAGTTTTTTCACAATTTCCTTCTATGCTTCTCTGTCCTGGGCTAGTTGTGCGGCTTCATGTAACCTTTGGTTAATCAATATTTTTGTTTGATCTACCTAATGGCTTGGGGATCTTCCCCTACGTCTCTTTCCTTTAACCCTACCCTTGACTATTAGTTTTTCCATCTTGCCTGTTCTTCAGCAATGTGTCCAAAAAATACTGCAAATATCTCTATTGTATTTGTTTAAGCAATCTATCCTTTACTTTAAGTTGTTCTAATATCGATACATTAGTGCCATGATCAATTCAGGATATTCTCAACATGTAGCAGTATACCCACATTTTAAAAGCTTCCATTTTATTTTTATTCTCTTTAAGTGATAATTTCTGATAATAACCTTACCACTGTTATTTGCATCAACTCAATAGTTTTTCTGGATTAGGTGCTTTTATAGTAGACTAGTTTTTACATTATTTCTTCTTTTGATAGGTAAAAATGCCTAAAAGACCTGCACCTCCAGACAGCCCTCCAAGGTCTAGAACACAGTCTAGGAGAGCAGCTAGTAAAGAAGCCCTGAAGCAGATGCAATTGTTGTTAGATGATGAAAACGATGCTGTAGAGATTCCAGACGATGTAAGTAATCAACTTTCTTGTAATATTACATTTCAAATAGATACAATTTCTGGTTTTATAATGTTGTTAACATTACATTTTTTTCTTGCTTTCATATATGGGATACCTGCAGTATTTCTTTGATGTATGTATCAACTTTAAATCTATTTTTCTATATAATATATGTGTTTTCTATGATCATTTCTATAATTTTTTTTAATTTGTATGAAAATTACACAGTTACGAACATTTGTACAAATAATAATCAGCATGATCAATATTATATGCCAAAGAAATGACAAAAATCATTTATTATATTTGTAATATATGTCAGATGTAAATACTAACATAGTTAATAGGTTTGAGCCTATTTGTCACTACAGATCAGATATTATGTACTTCATAAGTCAAAGTTACCCAATTATCCATTGAATATAACAAATCTGTATATTGAATACTGTATAAAAAAATTTAAACCACCATAAATCAAACTTAACATGCTTTGAGCACTAATCAAATATAAAGAAATGTTATGGTAATAGAAAACATATGTGTACCTTATCCCAGCAATGTTTTGAGCCCTTAAGGGTATCCACTGTATTGTTAATCATTTTTTACTTTGAGAATAATGGTCCAAAACTCACAATTTGTTTAGAATATGTTTATTGTGTGACTAGTGTGGGAGTCAATTGTACTGAATCCCGAGGACAGTACAAAAACCAACTCGTATCAGTAGATGTTGTTAACTTAGCTTAGTGTGTTCATGTTGCTTGTTATTGACCAGAAGAACAATGCAAAATAGGAGTGTGAGAATAAATATTGATGTGTAGTGGACCAAAAGATTTTTTATTTTGACAGTAAGTAGTTAGTGAAATTGTGTACCAATCACATGTGCATATAGAATTTTATTTTAACAATCATTGAAATTGACAATACTTATATGCTCGGAACACAAACATGATTAAACAAAAAAATGTATATGATACCGGGAAATGCAAGGAAAATCCATTGAAAAGGAGTTTAAATAAGTAAATAATTGAGTTGGTATAGCAATAAATAGTGGACAGATTGTTGTAGAAGAAAAATTTGAAGAACATAAACCAGCAAAACTGTACTATCAACTAAGTAAAATGATATAGTTCAGTGTAAATGAAATCGTAGGCTTCCACGGCCAGAGTCAGAATTATAGTTTATTCGTCTTCCGGGTTTGGACAGTGTCATTTGTGAGTGACCCAAAAGTGGGTTCATCTCGCTCGTTCATCTCGAGATGAACCCACTTTTGGGTCACTCACAAATGACACAGTCCAAACCCGGAAGACGAATAAACTATAGTTCAGTATATCTGCTGAAAATCATCTATTTCACATAAAAATCTTATATAGATATGTGAAAGTTCTAAAAGATATATGAGGGGATGTAGTGCTGATTTTGGTTTGGTTTTTTAACAATCAACAAGTGAAAAAATAATTTTTTTTATTTTTTGATTATTATCTGCTAAATACTTACTGTTCGGACAAGTACAGTTGTTATTAGATGTTTGTCGTCATGGATTTCTGATCAGCTACTACTCATGTACCTTTTGTTACCTTTAAATACCTGTATAAAATTTTTTTACCTTTTTTTTATTGGCCCAATATGTAGTAGTATATCCCTATGTAGTAATATAAGATAAATGCCAAGAATGTTACGTAATGACAAACTGAGACTTCACTATTTAATAATGGAAGAATTAAGATAATCTTTTGCATGCATTGTGGGATACATCACATCCTAGTGATGTTATAAATGTTTCAGAACCTAGTGACTATCGTAAATACATATGCCCGAAAAAATAAATGGAACCTAAAAACATTTAGCACTATTTTAATTTCATAGGATTAGGCGACAGGGTAGGATTTGCACTTGCTAATAATATCAAGTATTTCCAATCTTCTTCTTCAAGTGCCACCTCCACGGCGGAGGTCGGCAATCATCATTGCCATTCGGACTGTTGAGACAGCTACTCTGAACAGTTCATTTGATGTACATCCTTACCAATCTCTCAGGTTGCACAGCCAAGACATTATACGCCTCCCTATGCTTCAATTTCCTTCAATCTTTCCCTGCATAATCAGTTGGAGCAAGGTGTATTTCTCTCCAGATGCAATATGTCCAAGATATTCCAATTTTCTTGTTTTAATTTTATTTAAAATTTCTATTTCTTTATTCATCCTTCTCAGAACCTCTTTGTTTGTGACATGTTCTGTCCACAATATTTTCAGAATTCTTCAATACACCCACAGCTCGAATGATTCCAATTTCTCCATTGATGTTGCATTCAAGGTCCAAGATTCCATTCCATAAAATAAAATTGAAAAAACATAGCACTTCTCCAACCTAACTCTTAATTTTAACTCTTAACTCTTCTCATTTTGTTGAAATTTGCTCTAGCCTTTTCTATTCTGATTTTGATTTCCTGAATCTAATCATTTGTGGAGGTCATCATTGTTCCCAGATATGCATATTTGTCCACTTGTTCGACATTGGTTCCATTTATTTTAAGATTCTTGGTATTTCTTTGAGTTTTCGATATTCTCATAAATTTCGTCTTCTTGACATTCATTGTTAGACCATACTCTTTTCAATACTCATTTCCAATAAACATGAAATATTATGTTTCTTTAATCTTAAACATTCCAGTTATTCATCGCATTTTTATTTTATCTCACATTGAAAGATGTAATAAAAATTTACGACTTCCTGTCTTCACTGTCGAAAAGAATTACTGTGTAAAAATGTAAAATATTTACATTGCACTAATTTAGCATAAATAAACCTTTTTAGAATTGAAAAAAAATAAAGGACCAATAAATAAATAAGAAATCAATGTATGATAGAATAATAATAGGATTTTGGTTTTAAATTCAGCAAAATATGTTTATACCAGACGAAAACCTCGAATTCCTTGGGAAAAATATTCCCACTTTCATGAAATACCACAGAATAATGTTCAAAAGGTCACCCATATAAAATGTGGTCCTAATTTATTAAACAGTCTTGTATAAATCCATTTTTATGTTGTGATAAGGGCCTCAAACAACTAAAAACAATGTTTTAAAATCAAATAAGCTCCAACTAAAGTATCAGAAACTGATAGAACAAGGTTTGGTGAATTCAAAAATAATTGTGTGTTTTTGAGCCTCAAAAAGCAATTTTTGCTTTTTTTTCAGTTTTAAATTGTTTAAAGTTGAAAACGAATAATGTTGAACTTTAAAGAAAAATTACAATAAACCTTTTCTATTTAGAATAATCCAAAAAACTGAAAAGAATTGTCCAGACAGATGAAATTGATTTATATAATTTGTTTAAAAATAATTATTGTTTAAATAAATTAGAACCACTTCTGCAGGTATTATGTTTTAAGACAAAATAAGTTATCAATTCATTTTCAATAAGTAAGACAAAGTTATCAATTCATTGAACTGTGAACAATTGTTCACAAAAAAAAATTAAAGCTACATTTTTCACTAACGCAAAAACTAGTTCGTCTCTGTCTCGCTACTATAACGCACTGAAGGGAACTGTATGTTTTTAGCAATGCCTGATATCATTGTTTCGTTTGTAGATCGACGTCACATGAATTATCTTTACTTATGGAACTACATCCTGACTTGGGAGAGGTTGATTAATATATTAAACTTGCGATGTATCTCGTTTATTAGTTACATATATACTCGCAGAATACTATATCAATGACTTTACTGAATATATTAATTACAGATTACAGGAACTATAATTACATCTTGAATAAATGAACTCAATTGACTAACCAACTAATATTATTATTCAACTACGATTTCTCGTCTACTCTTTTTATGTCATAACACCTATAACGAATCAGTCTATCAGTAGGTCAGCTTTGTGTGGTAACCAAGACCATGCTTGGATTATTTGCAAGTATGCAAACTCAAGTTAAACTTGACACACTCGTATGTCCACAATTCTGAAGACAATTCCAATAAAACAATGACACAATGTACAATATTAGTAAATTTCTTTATGAATTCTAATATCTTAGGAATAATATCACAATTTGTAGTTTTGGAGCCTGAATAAAAATTCTAATACCATTAAATACTTTTTACAATAGAAACAACAGTGGATGCCTTATAAATTTGAAAATATCACAGTATACCCCAACCTTGCTTTTTCATAAATGAAATTTAATATAATCCAAAAGCTTTTCCGCATTTAGCTTATATTGCTTTATAACATTATAAATAACATAGTAATAACAATATTATTGAAAGCTTGAATAAATATGAAATAAATCCAAGTTTGTGCGTTCAAAATTGAGTCTCTTGTAATGTTGTTAATACTATCACAAGATGTATGCTTTTAATTGTATATATAAACAAGTAAACAGAGCTATTTACAGTGTAATAGACCATGATCAAATAAAAATCAAAAAATCTTACATAATTCATGTAAATAATTCAGTTTATTTCTACTAATACAAAAAATGTTTGGTTTTTTGACATATGGCTATTGAGGATAGTTGTTTTGACTGTTTGTTGAAGTGTATGATCGTTTCAGTTGTTGTTTTGTTAAGTTTTTCTGTAGTAAACCATCACTGTGCTTAAAAGAAATAATTATATAGGCATAGAAATAAATATATTTTATTAAACTAATCATAAGTATGGTTTTTGACAAAATTAGGAATTGTTTGAGCGAAGTACGTAATGTCTAGTAAATAAAGACCAAAATTAAAATTTATATCAATACTGCTATTAACTGTCATGTGAACGAAAAAGTTTGTTCAAAGTATCCAAACACCATTCAGAAAAATTAGATTCGATAACATGGTTCTGTTCGTTTGCAGTTTTTTTCTTAGAATTAAAATACATGAGATATTAGAGAATCTAACAAATACATCAACTGAGTGTTCACATAACACTATAATAGCAACATTTATATAATGAAATTGGGCGCAGTGTTTGCAAAACATTGGTTCATTTCTACACAATAGAGACAAGGGAACTGTCAAACCAATGGAGAAAAACCTGCGAAGGTCTAAGAAAGACCATCCAATCAGCCAAAAAGATGAAGGCCACAATTCTTTGAAATGTGGAAAAACATTGAAATATGCTACTATGTCTTTGTATGTCACTAAAAGTTCTATCCTATCAATACACCACATCTGTTTACAAAAGCGATCATTATACAGGCAAAATTACAGCAACTGGAATATGAATTGAGATTTTAGTCACTCCAGCTCTTTCTCTAATCAAGACCTTCTTGATCCTTCCGTTTTTAGTCCTATCCAACATCCTTTGTAACATTATCATTTCAGATACCTCTACCTTTTTTTTTCCTGAATCTTCTTTACAGGCCCCACTTCACCGCCATACACCAACACAGGTCTCACCACACTGTTGTATATCTTTCCTTTCAGCCGTTCACCGATTTTTCGATCACACAGTCTCATTCACTTCCAGTTAATCCAACCAGCCTGTATACTGTGGGTAATATCTCGATACAGCGTCCCATTTTCTGTTATCTAGGACCAAGCAATTTCATGTCCCCAACAATTCCTGTTCATTCCAACTACATATACTCTATTTTCAACCTGCTAACCTTAAGTCCTCCCCCTTATCAATATTTCTTTTCTCTTATCCACTAACATGATATCTGCAAAGAGCATTGACCAAGTAGCCCCCTTCCTTACTTTCTCTGTAGTACATCTCTGTACTGACTAGATTTAGTAATATAGGAATATTTCCTGCTTTCTAAATTGCGCATAAAATTGCTCAGAATAGCCAGTATTTTGAGAAGCTCAAGCCAAATGAATTTGTAGCGAGGTAAACATGTTGAAACATTGGCAGAGTGTATTGGCAGTGTAGAAAATTAACAAAAAACGTGGTTTTTCTAACTTTGGCCAGATTAATGTCAAACCATTCACATAAGAAAGAATATCAAATGGGAAACTACCTTTATAGACAAAGATATTAAAGAATTATAGTAACCAAATTACAATGAATCAATATAGCAACTGAAACGATCATTTAGTAACATAAATATTTGATGTAAAAAATACATTTTTTAAGCAGGTCATACCTGTTGCTCCATCGCCATCACCTACCGGTCCACCACCGAAGAAAAAACACAAAGTAGGACGAAAACCTCTAGATATCAATGCTAAACCTACCACAGGTAGATATAATTTTTTTTTTTGATAAAAGTATTATGACATGGAATTAAGTGACTTTAATATTAATATTATTACAAAAAATAATACCAAATTCATCAGAAAGTCTCAGTTTCCCGAGCCCCAGATCTCTTTACTACTTGTTTTTCATTTGACCTATGGCTTCTTCTGCTGCTTCAAGTATGCTATTTTTGATGTATGTATTCGTATTGTTCTTCTATACTTTGAATTATGTTCTATTTAAATTATCATCTAATCTAACCTGTTTTGATATAATTTTTGTATACTTATATCTTGTTATAAGTTTTTGTATTGTATCTAGTTTTTTTGTGCCGTGTTCTTTATCAGTTACTTCTGTTTCCCATTGTTTACTAGGCAGCATTAATTTTGACTCTAGTAATGCTCACTTATTTTGATATATTTGTTATTCTCGTATTTCCGTTTCTTTTAGTAATAACTTATAATTTTTACATAATTTAAAAACAATTTTAATAGCCACTGAATTAATCAAAAGAAACGTGTGTCACTGAAAGTTTCATTGTTTTGTTATAGATAATCTATGCATTTCTTATATTATAAGACCTGTTCTTGTTACACATATTTTGTACTATTTTTTTTTCTTTCGTTTAGATCGAGATGCAATCGTTTTACAAACAATCACGAACCGTGATGCCGAAAATACACTAGAATTGGATTGTTGGGTAGAACAACCAGACCAAATACACAAGGATCGTCGAAAGAAGTACCTAGACGAGCAAAAAGAACTACAGGACAAACTCGACGCCTTAGTAGCACAAAATCACGCGAAAGTGATTTTCACGAATGAGTCAAACACAATCATTGAAGTTTGTGAACAAATTCGCTCAGCTGTCGAAGGTAAGTAATCATTTTTTTTATAAAAAGTCTTATCCAATCTTTATTAAAGTCTATAGATATCATTAAAATAAAAACAATTGACATAACTAAATGTAAAAGATAATTTTGTAATTTTGAATTCCATTGCAAATTTTGTCCGTCTTTACTTCAATATAAGGAAGAAAGACTTTAATATGCTCAGTGTCTGATTCTTTTGATTAATTGGAAGACATATGTTGTGTATGCTCATATTAATATCTGATTTTAAACCCATGATACTATAACAAAACAAGATAAGTCAACGCGCATGTTCTTGTGACGTAAGCCTGAGACAAGTTGTCAAAATGCCAAATTGACAAAATTAATGACAGCAAGTTAAACTTTAAAATTAAATTTAAATTTTTCATTTGATGCAATTCTAGTTATATAAATAAAAAGAATTAATATTAATAACAGCAGAGAATTAATATATCAATATTATAACAGCAGAGTAAATGTTTCTATGGATAATAATAAATGTTTCTATAGATAATAATTAATACTAATGCCCATTTTAATAGAACTTGAAGTAATACTTTATTTTTGATAGGTCTTTAAAAAAAGTTACTTTGGATGTATGTAGTAAACTGGAACATATTTTTCGTAGTTATATTGGCGACACATTAAAGATAACAAAGAATTGTTTAAAAAACTTAATAGAAGCTGCAAAATATGTAAATGTTAGCGAAGATGTAAAATTACTTTTTTTAGATGTAAAATGTATTTTAAAATACAAATTCTAAATCAAAATATTAAAAATAATTACAATACTACAAAAGGAAAATCACGAAGATTGTAAAATAAATGTCTAAATCATATTCATAAAGTCTCAAGTTTGACCCGCTTTTCCTTTATGGTCAAGTTCTTTACATTTTGCCGGCCTTTTATATTTAATTTATGTTTTGTAGCAATATTTATTTTGTTTGTAATACACACAATCAAATCGTAGATTCATATATTTCTTTAATTAATTTTACAAATTACTTATTAATTTTCAAAACACGTTTTTACAGAAAGTAACTAGTTATGACTTATTAGTGCAAGATATGGCATCGAGGTATACTTACCGTTAACAGTTTAAGTTTTGAAGTTGTTCATTACAGTAATGGAACAACGTTGCCATATGTTGCATCGTTAAAATATGATATAAACGAGTCCCCTGGCTTTGTCTCACCATGACGACATGCGCAAAGTCGATCAAAATTAGAACGGCAAGTGAGCATATCTTGTTTGTTATAGTATCATGATTTAAACCAGTATCAGACCATATATGTAGCGTCAACATAAACATATAATGAGCACATATTTCATAAGGAAATAAATACTAATGGTAACATGATAATTGCCATATGGAAAGACTAAAAACAAAATAAATCACGAAAAATAAGAGCAGAAATGTATAAAGAAAATAAAATCAGACAGATGACCAGATTCCGACAACGATCATTACATGGTGGATATCAAAATGAAGCAACTAATACCACAAAACAAAAACAAAATAAATGAAATTAAGTATATAAATAGATATATGAACCAAGATCTCTATGTCTGCTTTATAGATTATCAAAAGGCTTTTGATAGAGTATTACATCAGATCCTTGTAAAACTGTTAAAAGAAATGAATGTGGATAGTCGAGATATACGGGTTATTGTTAATTTGTACTAGAATCAAAAAGCAAAGGCTAGAATCGAAAATGTCTATGGAAATCAAAAGAGGTGTTAGACAGGGTTGCATGCTGTCCCCATTGTTATTCAATCTGTACAGCGAAGCTATTTTTAAGGAAGCAATATCATAGGAACAACAGGATATATCAACAAACGGAAAAATCTTAAACAACATAAGATTCGCAGACGACACCGCTGTTTTGCAGACAGTCTAAAAGCACTGCATCGCTTAGTAAATAGATTACATCAAGTCAGTATAAAATACGGACTACAAATGAACGTTAAGAAAACCAAGTGCATGATTATTTCTAAGCAACATACAAAGGGAAGGCTAGATATCGAGGGAAAACAAGTAGAAAGAGTGAATAACTACAAATATCTGGGAACCTGGGTAAATAAAAACTGACCAAGGTAGAGAAATAAGGACACGCATTGAAATTTGTAAGATATAGAATGGAAAGCTTTACACTAAAAGTGGAAAATATAAAGAAGTTTGAACCATTTGAGATTTGGTGCTATAGCAGGATTTTCAAAATACCATGGACCCAATGAGTTACAAATGCAGAAGTGTTAAGAAGGCTACAAAAGAATTACGAGGTCGTAAAGCATATCAAAACAAGAAAGCTGGAATATTAAGGCGACATTACCAGAGGTGCGAAATATGATATATTAAGGCTCATAATGCGAAGTAAAATCGTTGGTGAAAGATCCATGGGAAGAGGAAGAATTTCCTGGCTGACAAACTTAAGAGAGTGGTATAGTTGCAGCTTAATAGATCTTTTCAGAACAGCCGCCAATAAGGTACGGATAGCGGTGATGATAGCCAACCTGTGATAGGAGAAGGAACTACAAGAAGAAGTTGTTAAATCTCTTTTATTTTTCCTCATAGTACCAACGTAAGTAGGTTTACAGCTGCGTAGCTCTTCAACAAGCTCTAGTGAAGAAAACCAGTTGTCACCAGTTACATTGCGATTGGAATTTACTATTGGTGCAGTGAGCGAAAGAACATTTAGTGTTGGTATGGATAGCTTTTGTTGGATTAGGTATTACATCTTGTTTTCCAGTATAAACAAAGGCATTGATTAGATAATGAATACGGGCGTCACACATGCACATTATTTTGAGTCCTATTTTTCAGGCTTACTCTTTATATACATTCTAAATTTACATTTTCCACGGAAACCGACGAGCATTTCATCCACTGTTACGTATTCTCCACACGAATAATTAGTTTGACAGTTATTTACAAAATAGTGAAAAATTTCAGAAATTGCTGCCAGCTTGTCTCCATTTACAATACGCTGGTCTCTAGTTTGCGGATCGTCAAATCTCAAAGATGTCAGTAAAAAACTAAACCTTTTTGCTGTAATTACAGATCGGAATATATCACGACCAGCACCATCAGTTGCAAAGTGAGAATTTATATCTTCATTGTTTGATTTGAACACGCCTGCCAAATACAGAAATCCAAAAAATGCTAACATTTCAATTTTGTCAACATGGTTTATTGTACTGCATCCTAAAGCGTTATCTCCATAATTTGTTTACAAACTGGTTATTTTTTCTTTGGTTTTCTCAATAATCTGGTCAATTATGTTATCATCAACTAACAGTTGGAATGCTTTAGCAGGAGTCATAGGTTTGTTTATTTGTGCTGGTCCAGCAAGTCCTGGTACATGTGACACGATATTTGTTGCACGAGCTCGGCTCGACGCCAGAGCTTGCTTTGACCATTTTTTTCTATTTCTCCCGTAATAGTAACTTTGGTGTTCGTTATCACTACTGTCATCCTCACTACTCGATTCGGTACCTAAGATTTGATCGTTATTATTCCGTGTCACTTTGATCACCAGCTTCAGAGTCAGTATCATGCTCACTAACAATTGTCTCTGCATCAGATATGTCGACATCGCTGTCACCAATCTGTTCAGCTATTCTAACTCCTGTTGTGTCAAGGGTCTCGTTCTGACACTTGAATTAGCCATAATTATTTAAAACTAAATGACTGACAATTGGCCTTTTTAAGGTATGGCGGGGTTAATTTTGACCCTATCGACGTCTAACACTCAACAAAGTACAAAGTCAACTGCAGCGACTACGTTCAATTAATGTATTCAACGACACAGACGAATAGCTGGACGGCGGTGTTGCCAGGTGTTCTCCTTTTTCTGGAATTTTAATAACCTTTTTTTGGGTCTAAAATGACCCCGCCATACCCGTTAGGGTTTAACAGAGGTGAAGGGGATAATCGAGGTTCCACTGTATATAGAAAAAATGCAACCCTGTTTTGGGATATTATTATTCAAATTTCAACTGTCACAGAGCATACTGGCTTTTAAAGACGTTTAGAATGATCCATTCATTTTTCTTGATTGCATTTTTTTCTCAGGGATTGCCTATATTTTATAAATAGATTATATTGAACACATTGTTAAAAATAAGTGTTTATTTATTTTTAGGAGCCGAAAAACCTCCGACCAGCGTAATTATAAATAATAACTCGGGTGGAACGCAATCTTATAATTTGTTAATGGATCCGACAGCAGGTCTAGTTGCTTCGGCGCCTATCCAAATAACACCTCCCACACCACCACCACCAGTTATCGCAGTTACTCCACAGAAAGCACCCCAAGGAAGAATACAGGTAAGTTATAGTACTCTGCTAGATCTTAAGACGTTTTGCTCTCTTCAAGTAGAAAAACAGTTGCACAACTGCAATCTTTTAAATATGTAAGTAATTTTTTTCAATAATCATTTGTAAATTATTTGTTCATTCTTGTATACTACGATTTTTGGTTCCAGGTGGCTCAGGATCTTCAGCAAACTCCTCCTCCTGCTCCGACGACACCTCGCGTTGCCACACGAAATCGGGCTAGAAGTTCGACAAGCAAAAATACCCCTCCGCCTCCCGCACCAGTCACCACACCACCACCAACAAGAAGCAAAGCAACGCCCGCCCAAAGTACTCCTCCAGTACAAACTCCCCCGACACGAAATCAAACTCGCGCCCAGGTCCAAACTACTCCAACCCCGAAACAGCCACCGGCAGCTCCACAGACAAGAGGTCAAGTGCAACCGGCGACTCCACAGACAAGAGGTCAAGTACAACCTGCAACTCCACAGACAAGAGGTCAAGTGCAACCTGCAACTTCACAGACAAGAGGTCAGGTGCAACCGGCGACTTCACAGACAAGAGGTCAGGTGCAACCGGCGACTCCGCAGACAAGAGGTCAAGTGCAGAATACGCCACAGACTAGGGGACAGAACGCTCAGACTAGAGCCCAAAATACATCACGAGCAGCGCAGATACCACCACCGACGCCAGCTCAGACTAGAGCCCAAGCCGCAGCTGCTACAGTTACAGCTACACCACCTCAGACAAGAGGCAAGAAACAAGTTAATACTCGAGCGAGAGGGGTAAGTGTTTTCATATCTGCACAATTTTAATCAGTAAAATATTTGCTTCTATTACTCAGAATAGTTATTACTTTAAAATGCTTTTTAAATTCCTGCTTTATTCTCTTTGCGGAGTAGGCTTCCGTAATTATATGTCTGCAGAAGTGTATATCTGGGGTGAAAAAATATCAATCTCGCTTACCGACATAGTTCTCCACTACAGTTCCTTTTTTGCCTTCCTGTCCCACTTGTACTTACAAATCAGCAATTCTTCATATTGTGTAATTAACGTCTCGACATTAAACATGCCCAAACCATCTTAACGTATGCTCTCTCATTTTGGTATCAGTTGGTGCTACTCCTAGACTTCCTCTAATATAATCATTTTTAATTTGATCCTTACTGTTACTCCACTCATGAAAAAATGTGTTACCAATCGCCATATATAATGCTGTTGCTAATTCCAGCATATCATCTCTAGCTTCATTTTTAGTTCCAAAGACTAGTTCCCAAGTATTGCTTCATATCCTGTCTTGGATTGGCATCAAAATCACCTCCTATTATAATTTTGTCCTCTGATAGAATATCACTCACTATGTCTCCTAATCCTAATTGATCATATAAATCTTTCTTTCATTCTCATCCACTCTTGCTTTTTAAATTCCTACATGTATCGTACATATTACCAACATTACTGCGGTAAGATTTCCTTAAAATTACCTTCTTTTGTTTATTTTCAAGGCTATAATGTCCACAGTTTTAAAGGATTATTAGTTTTTTCTCTAGCCAGTCTTATCTTCCCCTGAACACCTTTTTGCCTTGTTCTACAAATAACCAAAGTCGTATCAACCTTAGAGCTCTTTAGAGTCTTGATCTCCGAGTCATTATTGTGAAAATACAGATATTTAGGTCTTGGTAAATCGATAACTTACTTTAGTGCATTGTAAAGGCAACCAGATGCTTTTTGTTACAACAATGGGGACGTTCTTCAATCTCAAATGCTTCTCTGACAATCCATGGCATGAGAAAGCTGTATGTTAGTAGTTTCAATTTTGAATTGTCCTACTAGTCGGGCCTATGAAAGATATTGGACAATCGGTATGGAAAATCTCATAAATAGCATGAATTTCATTGTAAATTTTGTCTTCAAACGGAGCAAACGATAGTTTTTGTACCATTTGATTTAGAACTATCAATTTCTATCAAAATTAAGTGTATATTTTTAAGAATATATTTCCACTGGCAAAGATCCGACCCGCCAAAGATACTGATTCAACTGATCCAAATCCGTTGATCCATGTCTTCAAGCAGAGACGTATTTACCATGACTAGCAGAGGCCAATAAGTTGTCTCTATCTTATCTTTAGTTCCTGTTCTAATAAGCTGGTAGAGTCTTATTCGATCTGAGGAATGATGTCCTTGATATTATCTTGTTTTGTTTATTTTCAATCTATAATTTTAACGGAGTTGTACTCCCTTCTCCAGTCTATCAACGCTCTTTTGCCTTGCTTTTTAGTCAACCGTTGTAGTTATCTTTTGACTGAGTATCAATATTGCCTCACCAAAGCTCTTTAAAATATTTATCTCCAAGCCTCTAGTCCTAAAATACAGATATTTAGGTCTTGATAAATCGATATCTTTTTTAAAACCATTTTAAAGCCAATCATATGTTGTTTTGTTAAAATAATGAGGACATTTTTCGATCTCAATTGCTTGCTGAAAAGGTTGCTTGATTTAAAAAGGTTGCAAAAAAAATTAGTAACAAAAAATGTGATATGAGAAGACTTAAAGATAAGGAAACGAGAGAGACAGTCGCACGGATTCTTTCAGAAAAGCTAAGTAACATGAAACAAACATATGATCCAGAAGAATCGCACCAGAATATGGTGAGAACCATATTCTGGTGCCAGATTATGAGAAGAGGAAAAGTTGGATGAATGACAATATACTGCAACTCATGGAAGAAAGAATAAAATCAAAGAATAACAAAAGAATGTACAAAAATATTCAGAGGCAAATAAGAACCGAAATACGAAAGGCCAAAGAAAATTGGTTAGAAACACAGTGTGAAGAGATAGAGTTGTTGGAACAAAAATACGATACATTTAATATGCATAAAAAGGTTATACAAGCAGCTAGTCTTCAAAAATTAAACACAGCCAGCAAACTGCAGGATCTCAGGGTTAACTTTCACTGAACGTTAGGAAAACAAAATGGTCTGAAAACAGCAAATTAAAAGAAACAATGAGAATGGTCAACAAATAGAAAGAGTAAAAACATACACCTACCTTGGCACCAACGTCAATGTAAACTGATAGACTGGAAAAGTTTTCCTCAAGCTTCGATTGAATGCCCTTTGACTTTTTTCAATCAATCAGTGTAGAGCCTTGGTTGCGTTCGTAATTAGATACCTTCCTTTAAAGGCGTTGGTTAACAAAACTTAATTATGGTACATCCGTAGGAAAATAGTAACTTTCTACAACGCTAGCTCCAATAACTAGCTCAAAAGAAATCAGATTTATCATCAAGCTTATAGCTATGAGGTTCCTGGTCATAATTATTAACCTGAATAGGTAGCATAGTCTGTGAATAGCACCACGCCGAGTCATAACTGATTTCTATTGATTATGAGCCATCATATTTATGTTCCATAAATTATGTGTGCCTCATTAGTGCTCAAATATGAACTTGAGATTCGAATTCTTTAATATTGTCTGCCGAGCTTTTTCAAAACATTTGTAATAGAAGAATGTAAAGTTTAAAAAGGCTGGCAAAAAAGGAGACTACCAGGAAGGAAGATAAAGAGATATCGAGACGAGTTGGGTATTGGAGTTTTAAATATTATTTAACATAACCCATTAAACAAAAATAACGTAAGAAAAAAAGTTGAAGAACTAGTTATGTACCAATTAAAGAGTTCATTATACCAATGAAATTACTATGTAGTGTCACAAGAAGAGTAAAAAATACATTGTATTTGCAGAGAGAGCTAAAACGCGAGGCCTTTGCAGGATAGAGAGAAACAATTTTAGTGACTTTTCTTGTTTCTATGGATTCTTTAACGTGTAGTTACTGCTACATGAGTTATCAGAACCGTCAAGGGTATTGCTGTCGTCGGACTCTGATAAAAAGATGACCTTCGAGACTTTCGGACTTTCCCGAAGATTCGAGACAATTCGTTCTCATTATATAAGCCAACAAGGGCAGCCTCTGAGATTTAGTATCCGTAACTCTACGACCAACATCACACTACTACATTTTCAAAGATTTTTCTTTACGGTCCTATAATACAAAGAACTGTGTTGAATTATAAAAGACTAACGTTTTTTTTTCACTTTATTTCCAGCCTGGTTCTAACACATTCACAACATCGATACGTCCATCAGAAACCAACGTAGAAGGTGGTCTTTCAGCAGGTAGTAAAAACGTAGTGGAAGTCGATCTCACTTCTACGGACGAAGAAACCAGCAAATTACCACCGGACAGCCGAGAAATAGCGTTTAATAAGTTACAAGGAAAGACCTATCCTTCGCTGGTGGTCGTAGCTAGGCCTCACTTAAGAGCCAGGGACTTGTCTTTGGATAGGCCCAAGTTGGACGCCAAAGTGAAATCGGTGCTTATGCACGCTCCACCGAAATTTACAGAATGGTAAGTGAATCCTATAATTGTACAGTTTGTGTATTAATACACAATAAATAAGTCCGATCTGACATATTTAAATCATCCTTTAGGTTAATCCAACAAGGTCTCATCCGTTCTGAACAAAAATGTACTGTACATACAAACACTCAACTCAAACTCGGCATGTACAGCGATGTCTCCAAGTTTCCTTATTCTGGAGGGTACGTGTGGATTTCGGAATGCTGTCCGCAAAGATTTGTCTCGGTATTCAGCGGATCGTTGTTCGAAGGATCGCCTCATCCTCCAGTCGTCATACTGAAGCTGCTGTACCATTGGGCGTGTCAAACTAATATTCAGAACGTCGTGCAATGGGTAAGTAAACATTTGACACTAAATATTTTACTTGATAGGTGCCTACAATATACAAAATTGAACGGATTTAAGAATCCTGAGATCTAAAAATTGCAATTCATCTATTTAAGGATTCCCCAAACCGACGCGAAACTTTCGCAGCGGAATCGCGGCGAATCGTAAGGCACGGCGACTTAATGCATGTGTTCAGACAAGTTCGGACGGAAACCGGAACGGTCGCGGCAGAACAGCGTTGACGTTTCATGAAACGCTGCATGCACGGTTTTTTCCGCTGAAGTTATAGCAAGTTATAGTTTCGCGTGAATTATTAAAATGGCTGTTACAGAAAAACTAATTGAAATTGTGAAACAATATCCTATAATTTATGATTTAAGTGACGAAGATTATAAAAATATAAGAAAAAAGGATAAAGTCTGGGATAATATAGGGTCATTTCTAGGAGAAAATGGTAAGTTTTCATTATATATTATATATAATGAATTTAATAGTGCTCCGCCTGCGAATGTTCCGCAACGGTTTCGCGTCGCAAAAGTTTCGCGTCGGTGTGGGGAATCCTTAACTGTAATGTTAATATTTTGTGTTATGTGAAAACTTTAAATTATTCACGTCTGTCTGTCCACTCGTCTGTTCGTTAACATAACTCAGGTAAAACGACAAATGAGGTGTAGAATGAGAGATTATAACCCAAAGATGGTATTCAAGGTGAGAAATTTGACCTCAGACTTCCGGATCCAGAGTTGCAGCCGAAAGTACCGTTTTAAAGTCGCCGAAATAGTACAAGCGATATATTATTCGACGAACATTAACAAGACGAGAATAAATATATATTTCCGGTTTTTTTAACACTTCTGGTTAAAAAGTTGTTGAGATACAAAGTTTATTCTATAAAAATGGAACGAGGAAATTGTACAAATCCTTGAACAATAGCCGTCCAGAATTTAAACAACGAGACGGCAGACGGAGACAGATTGGTCACATTATAGGTACGAATGCCATAGAGTCTAAATGTTAAAACAATACTTCAGGAGGGAGAAATGGGGAGAAAAGAACAGAACGCCCGAAGAAGAAGTGGTTGGAAGCACTAAAGCAAGACATGACAGAAATAGGCGTGAGAGATTTGAGAGAGAAAACAAGGGACCGAGAAAAATGGAGGGAAATAACCACGTTTTTAGAAGCCAGGGGCCTGCAAGGTCTGTAGCGCTGTTTAGCAGTCAATCATGAGCTACCGTAAACAATTGGATTGCGAGCTTTAAAAGATGTACATTTTCCATTGAAGATGAAGATCAATTGGTTAGTCCATTATTAGACAGGTTTTTATTGGACAAACGGCCAATTTGTGTTTTCAACACTATTAAAGATGAACTAATCTGCACTTAATTTCTTGTTGTTTTGCTACATATTTAACTTTGATTTGACTCCAAAGGTGCTCAAACATCGCCTGTATCGTCGAAAAGTCAGTAACGCCTCACTAGTGGACCGACACTCCGAATCTCCTGATCGGCGCTCTTCGAATCCCATGACTTGCGCTTCATATTTGATTGAAAACACAGTAATTCCTTTTAAAAATTCCATGGGCCGAACAGACAAGCAATGAATTAAAGAGATATATGGTAAATAATCGTCTTGGTAGACGCATCTGGGCAAATTTAAACAATCACTTATTGTGCTGATTTGTGAAACGCATGTCTAAAAGCATTATTTGGTGCAATTAAGACTGTATAAACAAAAACTTATGGTGTATATCTTTTCGTTCGGAATTCAAGTGTTTCTTGAAAATAATACTTTCCGATTTAATGAGATTCGAGCTAATTAGTTCAAAGGTGTCTCAAGGAATTAAAATATAGTTTAAAAGAAAATAATTACGTAGTTTAGGTGTGGTTGTTAAATTACTTGTACACTTTTCTGTTTAAATGTAGGGAAGTCTCGTTGAGCTTAAACCGTTGTGTTTTGATTTAGGTAAAAGTAGACAACCTGTACGTCAAAGGTATGTTCACGTGGCTGCGTTCCATCTGCACCGTAGGCCTCCAATCACACTTCCGCCAGCTCGGAGGACCAGGAGTCAAAGTAGAAGTGGGCGTGATCTCTCTAGGTACCAGTTCTCAAGATGGAAGTACGCGACAAGTAAAAGTCGAAGTATTGGGAGTTCTAGAATCGGAGTCGAAACTTATTAGATTGCGAGCGGTCGAGCCTCAAACGGACGGCGATAGGAGCTACAAAAAACGGTTTTCGAAGATACTGGAACCGTTGATCTCGTGGGTGCATCCGCACAGTATGCTGGTAGCAGATATGACGGTTGACAAACAAGCTTTGTACAACATGGGATTCACGAATGTTGTGGTTTCGACTGTGGTTAATAACAATCAGATTATGGAGTATTTACGGCGGATAGTGCCGAGGATGTTCCAAAATACGCTGTCGTTATTATCAAGGCAGATCATCCAACAGGTATGTTTTAAAACATTTATCAACATCCACATTCCTTTTAGTAAATTTGCTTTCCTTTTGATTTGTGGTATCCCGAACATTATTAATTATTTAAAAAGCGTTTTAAAAATTACTTTAACCATATCTTAACAGTTGAAAATTTTTATTTATATTTTTTATGCCTTTTAACGTATTATATACTCAAAATAATATATAAAACTACTGTGATTATTTTGACATCTTGATCTTGGAGTATGGTCTTCCTTTTTCGGCATTATTCATTATAGTAGTTTCCATTTGAAGTTTTACAATGATTTCAACAATTTTCTAAAGATCCATTGCTATTTTGTACAAAGATTTGTCTTCGACACTAAAATATGCCCCAATCTCCCAATATGTAGTTTTTCAGTCCTGATTTTTCATTTAATAAATTTTTAATCATCCATTTAACCACAACTCATCTTTCTATTCCCTTAAGACCTTTTTCTGGTACATCAGAAGCCACTGGTCATTTATTATTTACTCTCCCAACCACAACCATTCCGATTCTTGATGTAATAATCGTCTAGCTATCCAGTTGGCTCATTAATCATTTCTTAACGCCACTCTATGACCTGCTAAAAGACTCCGATCATTAATTATTTACTTTTTCAGACACTTTCATCCGGATTTTTCATTTTCTAATCCTCTAGGGCCATCCATTTGACCAAAATCTGTCACCATTCTCCTTGAACACTCCACTTTTTCATGCGAGAAGCTCCTCACTATTGATTATTTACTTGTTTAATCATTACTACCGCGATTATTCCATTTGGTAACCATCTGGCCTTCCAGTTTACCAGCAACCCTCTTCCTATCCCCTTCTAACTCGACTCTGGCTTCTAGAAGCCTTCCAGTTGATGATAATTTATTTCTTCATCTCTATTTTTTATTTAGTCATTTTTTTTGCAGTTTTATTCTTCATTTAGTAACCTTCTAGGCATCCATTTGATCAAAAATCCTCTTTTTATCTCTTTATCTCTGTCCTGTGACCTGCTAGACGTTGCTGTTTGTTGATATTTCATCCTCAATTATTATTAGCACAATTATTGGATTTGGCAAATTTTGACCATCTGTTTGACTAAAAACTCCTATCATATCCCTTAATGCCTTCCTGAGGCATGCTACAAGCCTGCAGTCATTTAATATTTACTTTTTTAATCACTCCTGACTCTTCATTTGGTAACTCCTTAGCCATCCAGTTCGCCAAAAATCTCCTACCTGGCAATCGCAACACTCTGACTGCTACAAGCCAGTGATAATTTACATCTTCATCTTGATTCTTCATTTGGCTATCTAGTGGACCAAAAACACTCTCCCATACATCTTTAGCGCTACTATCTGAGATGCTGGAAGCCTGCGACCAGTGATAATTGAGTTCATCTCTATTATTTATTTGGTAACCATTTAGCTATCTATCGATTTGACTAAAGTCCTCTTCCTATCTTCTTAACCTCTTACATTCCTCAAACCACTAGCCATTTATTATAGCTTCAACCACTACCATACCGATTCTTCAGTTGGTAATGATCTGGCTATCCTATTAAACGGTCAATGGATAATTAACTTATTCACCTTCGTTATTCATTTGGTAACTTTCTAGCTATCGATTTGACCAAACACCCTGTTCGTATTTCCTTAAGCCAAGCTCTGATTTACTGGAAACTTCAGGGTCTTATATTATTTGCTTCTTCGATTGTGCCTATTTTTATTTCGTAACTTACTAACTGAACATTTGATCAAAATCTTCTTCATACCTTCTTAACCCTCTCTCTCTGACGTTCTACAAACAATTAGCCATTGATTATTTACTTCGTCAACCACTTTCGTCCTAATTCTTCAGTTGGTAAGCGTGTGGCTACTCACTTGACCAAAAACATTCTTTAACGATATTATCTGACCTGTTTAAAGCCTTCGGACAGTGATAATTTACTTCTTTATCTCGATTCTTCATTTGGCAACCCTCTAGCTATCCATTTGACCAAAACCTCAATTAATTCTTCCTTTACGTTTTCCAGTATTATGCTAGAAACTTCCAATAATTGATTTCTTATTTATTCTACCACTATTATCTCGATTCTTCATTTAGTAACTTTATTCATTTGAAAAAACACTCTTCTTATCGCTTTAACGTCAACATCTGACTTATTAGAAGGTTTAGTGATTGATTATTTACTTCTTCAAGCACTACCATCACAATTGTTCATTTGCGAACGAATTTTGGTAATCTACTGACTTATACTCTTCTTCCGTAAACCTAGTTAATAATTATTTGTTTTTGAACAGTTTTTGGACGAATTGGTATGGCGAGAATGGTTCGGTACTTCGTCCCTCCAAGCATTCGACAGCGTGGTCCAACACTTAGCCGAACAAACTCGGTTCGAGAGCGGCATGTCGCTGATAGTGCGCCTTAACAAAGTCGCCCAAAATCCGTTCAAGAGTTGGAACATGATCTTCAGTAATACACCGAAACCGGTAGAAAACAATGCCACAAATGCGACAAACGCCACAACAAACAACTCCAAGAAATCGAGAAACGCCAGAAAACCGGAACCTCCAAAGGTGAGTAGAGTTACTTAATAGTTGTGTATGAGAAATAATGATAGCACTCGATAATTTACTATTATTAACTTGAGTGTATGGCTACAAAAGATTCTCTGTTGACTAAAACTTTGTTACCCATATCTTAGGGTAATCAAAATAGGTTAATCAACAATGCTGCATTTTCAGAATATTTAGAATATTTCCAGAATCTTAAAGCTCATTCAAAACGTTGGGAAATAAATCGTTATACAGTAGAGCCCAAAATTAACAGTATTGAACTTGTAATTATTTTATTGTATGAGGTCTCCCAATAAGAATGTACTACATAAGAATGAATTTATTTATAGTATCGATCATATCCAGAAGGATGTTTTTTCATGCGACTGACAGACTGTTCCCTCTGATTGAATAATGTTATATTGTGTGCTATCATACTTAACCATACACAATATACTTATCATGCATCAGAAATAATAAATGCTATAAAGAACTTATTACAGAAGATCCAAAATTTAGATGTTTTGGATAAATACGATAAAGGTACTTTTTAAGGTTCAGTTTCTTTTAGTTATTTTTTTGTTTAAAGCCTTTAAAAAATTTTAAATATTTATTTGCGTGCATAGCAATTATAGCAGTCAGACAATCCTTAGGATCTCCTGAACACTTCCAACGAAAGATGATACAACAAAATAAACGGCCCTTGTGAGGACCGCACAACCAGACCAATCGGACCTATAGTTCGAATTTGCCACATAAATGTAGAAGGCATAAGCTATGCTAAAAGCCAGTTTTTATCAAAACTATTAAAAGATGACAACATTGACTTGTTGCTATACAGGAAACCCACTGCGAAACAGAGGAGCAACTACAAAAAGGGGCAAAATACCGGGCTATGAACTATTAGGCGCAACTTACCACCGAACATACGGCACAGCCACATATGTCAAAGAAGATATTGAAAATGCTTCGCTAATCTCTACTTCCACTGATGACTGTATTTATAATGTGGTCACAAAAATCGCTAGCATTACCGTGTCCAACATTTACAAGCCACCTGCTACGTCTTGGCCAGCCCAAGCAATTCAAGTACAGCCTCACTCCTGCTGGAGATTACAATAGCCATCATGAGCAGTGGAAGTACAAAAATAGTGATGCAAATGGGAATGCTTTAATAAAATGGGCAGAAGAATTTTTCATTATTTGTGAAGTGTCAGTTTTAATCTCATTTGTGACATAGAATTCAAATGTTTCTTGTCTTGTCAAAATGTCACTTGTCATTTCAAAATGAAACTTTGTGCTTAAAAATGCAGCATATTGGGTCGAAATGTCTTCTGTCAAACAAAAATATCTAGCCACACGAAGAAGTATTTACATTTACGTCAAAAAGTTCCTATTTAGGTTATGAACAATGTACAATTTTGATACTTAGTTGATTCTTTAAATTTCCCAAAGAGTTTCTGTAGTCAATTATCTGACGTTATAGCCCCATTGCCTGTAGTGAAATACAGAATAAAGCTGGACGAAAAAGTCAAATATGTTTGAACCTTTAGATAAAAAAAAGATCTACTACAATTTAAAAAAAATGGATATGTACTATCTTGTTTAATTCAGGAAACATTCAACTCAAGTATAAGTTATAGCAATTTGTTTTTTCTTTGTTTTTTTTTATTTTCTAAGTTCATTAATAGTACTAAAAATTATTTACAACAATTAACTACAAAAAAATATAAAAGTCCTTTGCAAATTACCTAAATATTGACTAGTGGATGGCTTTTAGTACTTTTTTATGTGAGACTTAAGTTCTTTAATAGTTAAAGTTTATGTTAATAAATATATGTTTTTCTCTCTACTGACCCCAACACAAACCCCTCAAACTTTCCTTTCCTCCGTTAAGGTGAACCAAGTTACGCCTGGAGACGTGAACAGGCCGCCGAAAAGCACATCTCCAGACGTTCCTGAGCAGATGGTACCATTGGAAAGCTACTATTACGGTACCATAGAGACCTACACGAAAACACCGACGATTACTTTAAATATGAAGTGTCCGTTTTGTAAGAGCGTGTTCGACAACAACGTTCAGCTGATGAGCCACTTGTTCAAGCATGCGCACAACGTATCTATGGACGCGCAGCTGTGCAGGTACTGCCTGACCAGTGTTGCCACGGCCAACGACCTCCTGAAACATATAGGTAAGTTATTTTTGCTTTTTATTGCTATATATTTGGGTACTTTTCCATTGCATGTAAAAACTGTGCCCCAAGCTAATTTTATGTAATAAATGTTAATATTTTTAAGTTTTTTATGGCAATAACGATATATTATTAGGTATTCCTGGCACCTCACAGCATATTTAGTAATGTAATAATGGAATATTTAAATAAATGTACCTCAAGACACCCTTGTACGTCCCTTTTCCAGAATTGCAAATCTTGTTATAAGTAGGTAAAGAAATAATAATAAGACTTACTCACAATCAATTTAATTTAACAATCAGACGACCGGTTTCGCTTTCTACAATTTGCAAAGCATCTTCAGGTCTAGATACAAAGTTAAACTAATGATGCCGGTACTCTATCATTAGTTTAACTTTGTATCTAGACCTGAAGATGCTTTGCAAATTGTAGAAAGCGAAACCGGTCGTCTGATTGTTAAATTAAATTGATTGTGAGTAAGTCTTATTATTATTTCTTTACCTATTTGATATGGACTCACACAAGCAACACATTCATGACTTGTTATAAGTATTTATTTGTTGTTGTTAATAACTGAATAAAAATATCCAAATACATAAAAAAAGTGGTAAGCATCTTTAGAGACCATTATATTTTTAAAATAAAATTTTAATCCAAATATCTACGTGCAAATGGTGTGCAAATTATTCAAACAGTCTGCATTACAACTGGCTAATCTGCCAACAAAGAAAAACGAAAATATTGTAGATTGGGATGAATGCTTTGAAATTATTAGATCCTTTCGTCATTTGCTACCTTTGTAAACTAACTTTCTCTTCCATGGTTAACATAAAAACTAAGAAACGAAACAGACGTGAGTGTATGTGTTGTCGGTTTCCTTTGACCGTAGGAAAATTTTTAATTCCTGCTTTTTTGCGTTGTTGTTCATAAGACAACTCACCTTAATAAGCAAGCTTATAACAGAGCTACACGCTTATTGTAAGTCATATGATTATAAGGTAGAGCATCTATCACCAGCTGTTAAACTTTTAACAAAAATTAGTCCCCAAAAATCCTTCGTAAATACCGTACTATGGCGCTATTGCCGATGTAAAATGATCTGACCCGCACCCATTGAAAAGCATGTTTGTTATACCTAGATCAAAATAATAGTTAAAGAAGGTGACTTATTAAATATTATTTAAATTCATTTATTCATAAAGAAATATTGCTGATAATTGTATTTTTGTTCTACCTAGCCACATCACATCCAGCCGAAACCAAATTCGACAACGGATTCTGCTGTTTGATTTGCGAAACTCCCTACATGAATCCGTTCATTCTGGGCAAACATATGTCCAAAGAACACTGTCCGAGCGAATTGCCGTATCAGTGTGGCACTTGCGGCTATCGTTGTTCCAACCACAAACAAGCCATAGATCATTTCTACAAAGCACACGACAACGGACCCACCATACAGTGTCCCTTCTGTTTGAAATCGACTACGGTCTTTACGTCAAGCAGAAATATTGTACAGAATATGAACTACTTTATCCAGCACTTGCAGGTAAGTACTTAACATTTTTATGTGATCCTATTATATTTAATAAGAATAAATCACAGTTTTAATTGAAATACCTATTTTTAGTTGGTGTAAACGTATTTTAAATTAAAATTTTGGTATAGGCAACAAAGAGGTCACCAGAAAATATATTCAAATCGATATTTTTATGTCCAAAAACATTTTTGTGTCCCTTTTAACGTATTTTAACCTAAGATTGCAAAGATAATTGCCGAAGTAGCTCTCTTAGCATCTCTGTTTCTGTCTGTCTCACTCACACTCTCACGCCACAGAATAATAAACAAACAGAATACCCACTCTCCACGGAAAATTAAGTACGCGCATCTCCTCCGCGCAGACGTTCCGCCATGTTTTAGGAGGATTTTAAATAAATTAGTGTTGTTTATGTGGTGTGCATGGAAAAATTAACCAGGTTTATTTGACTTACGGCAATCATAGACATACTATACAATTATATTAACATTGTTAAATATAATAACATAAATATAATATAATTAAACATAAATATAAATATAAATTACATAACCACACAAGTCATATGTCTGTGTCCTCCTAAAACATGGCACGCGTGCTGAAAAACTTCAAAGGCGGCATCTGAGAGTGGCCCTTCTGATTGTTTATTATTCTGTGCTCACGCCCCGTCTCTCATCCCTCCTCACGCTATCCCTCGCTACACCTCTCACCCTCTTCTCTGTTTCTCTTCCCCACTATCTATCTTTCTTCCTTCTCTCTTTCACTTACTACCTCTCTTCTTTCTCTTTAGTCACTTACTATGTCTCTTCTTTATCGTCCATATCTCTCTCGTTTCGTCAATATTCCTATCTCTCTCTCCTCTCTCACACTCTCTTTCTTTCTCCTTATCTCCTTCCCTTCCTCTCAGTCGAACTGCATTCCCCTCTCTCACCTATTTCTCCCACCACTACATCACTCCCTAACTCTCTGTCGTCCTTTCATATAAAAAAAATAACCAGTTGTTGCTAATATAAAATAAAAAATTCGATATACGTCAATAAAACATCCATCTCACGAGACATATTTTGTTAACACCTTTTTATAATTTTAGAAACATCAAAGGAAAAACTTAGCTCGTCGATGCGGTAAGTGCAACTCGTGGTTCGTTCAAAAAGACGCACTCAACGACCACCAGAAAAAAATGCACATTTCCCAACGGGGCAAACCCGAACTCGTTCCATGGACGGCACCTCGAAACGGTATTATGGTTCCGAAGTCAAAAATGGATAAATATCCCGTGGACGCTGAAGTTATCGATTTCGACGCCCTAAAGTTAGATCTGAGCAAAGGACTGATGTGCAAAGAGTGCGATACGCCGATGGATACGCCAAAACACTTTCCGTAAGTTGATAAACAGTATTTTTTTAACTAAATGTAGTTCCGCACGAAGTGTGTTCCACAATCTTTATACTTTTTAAAAAACATCTCCTTATTGTTAACTTTTTCATTAATCGTTTTTGTATTTTTATGTATATGCTGATTTTATGATCGCAACGCCTGCTGGTAGGCATCAATGAACGAGAATGACAAAGACGTAACATCGCTCCTACGATAGGACTTTAAAGAAATCTTAAAATCTGGCGATTTTTGGAATTGTGTATCAATAGACTAGTAACGCAAAGAGGTTACTCACATCAAATGTTCGGGACTTAAACGTCTCTTAAAATTGAACAATTTTCAGAAACAGAAGGGCATAAAGGCGGAAAAGTCTGTCATCATTTGTTCTAGTTTTTCAAAATATGTCACAAAATATTTTACGAATTGACAGTTTTCTATATTTGGTCCCAGTAGAGCAGAAACGCAAAGAGGTTGAAATATTCGGCGAACTTGAAAATTCTCTACAAATTCGACAAGTTTGTTATCAATAGAGCACAAACGCGATGACTTTAGTCCACCATTGCCTTCTTCTTCTTTGGGTGCCGTCTTCAATGAAGGTTGGCGATAACCTCAGCAAAATCATTTCTGTCCCTGGCTTTTCTTATTAAAGATTGAGAATCCAAACCAGTCCACTCACGAATGTTCTTCAACCAGGACGCCTGCCGTCTACCAGGACCACGCTTTCCTTCTACCTTCCCCTCTATAAGAAGCTGCAGTAGCTGGTATTTCTCATTTCTGTATATGTGTCCCAAATATGAGGTTTTCCGTGTTTTCATTATTTTTAAGAGTTCTCTGTCGGTACCCATCTTGTGTAGGACCTGCTCGTTGCTCATATGCGCTGTCCAGGGGACTTTCAGCATCCTTCGAAATAACCACATTTCAAAACTTTCCAAACGCCTTAGTGAGTTGATTTTGAAGGTCCAGGCCTCCATTCCATATAGTAAGGTGCTGTAAACGTAACATTTCAGCATTCGGTATCGGATTTTGAGATTGAGTGTTTGGGACGTAAACATTTGTTTCATTTTTAAAAAGACATTTCTTGCTTGTTCAATTCGCGATTTTATTTCTATGTCTGGATCTATATCTTTCGTTATCCAGCACCCTAGATATCGAAATTTCTCGACATTTTCGATAATGTTACCATTCACGTTTAAAGCCATGGGTGGATGGATGGATGTTTTGGAGACAATCATTGTTTTTGTTTTCTTGACGTTAATGCTGAGGCCGTATTGTTCTCCGATCGATCTGACGCGATCTAAGAGTGTCTGGAGATCCTGTGCGCTCTCTGCAATTAGGACCGTGTCGTCGGCGTATCGTACATTATTTAGAACTTTGCCGTTAATTTTAACACCTTCTCTTGATTGCTCTAGTGCTCGTGCAAAGATTTCTTCCGAATATATATTGAAAAGTAGTGGTGACAATACACACCCCTGTCGTACACCTCGCTTGATATTGAATATTTCTGTGTCACCGGCTTCTGTTCTAACTGCTGCAGTTTGGTTAAAATACAGTGTTTGGATAATTTTAAAATCGTTCTCGTCTAGTCCCTTTTTGTGAAGGCAATCCATCAGTTTATCATGTTTTACTTTGTCGAAGGCCTTTTGATAGTCAATAAAACATAAAAAGAGATCCTTTTTTTGGTCTCGACATTTTTGCAGCAGTATAATAAAACTGGTTAATGCTTCCCGTGTCCCAAATCCATTTCGGAAGCCAAATCGTTCATCACTGATATCCTGTTCACATTTCTTATAAATGCGTTGGTGAATAACTTTCAAGAATAACTTTAACATATGCGACATTAAACTAATAAGTCTGAAATCACCACACTTCTTTGCTCCCTTAGTTTTTGGAAGGGGAATAAAGACTGATTTTAACCAGTCTTGTGGAATTTCACCGCTTGTATATATTTGATTAAATAATTTGACGATTATATTTAAATGTTTCTCTTCCAGTAGCTTTATGACTTCCGTATGTATGTCATCGGGGCCAGGGGCTTTCCCATTTTTTGCGTTTTTGATTGCTCTCTCTACTTCTTGTTTTAATATAGGAGGACTGGTTTCATGGTTTTTATATATTATGTTGTTTAGTGGTGTGTCCGAGAATAGTTCTTCTATGTAATGTCCCCATACGTTGTTTAGATCGCTTAATTCCCATATCGTTTCATTCTCGTCGTTTGTTAATCTACAAGGGAGTCTTTGTTTTGTCATTCCAGCTAGATCTTTTATTTTTTTGTGAAGCGTTTGACTGTCGTGTTTCTTTATTAATTCTTCGATCTCTTGGCAGTTTTCTATCATCCAATTTTCTTTTGCGGTAGCTATTTCTTTCTTGATTTGACGATGTATCTCCCTATATTTTTCATTATCTTTATTTTTGTAGGCTCTTCGAGTATCCATCATTCCCAGAATTTTTTGTGTCATCCAGGGTTTAGATTTTCTTTTGTTATTAGTGTCTTTTATATATTTCTCGGCGCTAGTAAAAGCATTCTTGACTTCAGTCCATAAGCCTTCTGTAGTTGGTGATAACTCTCTTTGGAGCCTTTCACATTCCTCGTTGAGTTTAGTCTTTACCATACTTTGTATATTTTCTTGTTTAAGTAAATTGATGTCGGTTTTTCTTTTGACAGTCTTTTTTAGCGTTTTGAACTTTATTTTTAATTTAGCTACTAGTAGGTTGTGATCCGATGGAACATCTGCGCCTGGGTATGTTCTTGTATCCGTTACTGCATTTTTATATCGCTGGTTTATAATAATGTAATCGATTTGATTTCGGACACAATTGTTTTTATTATCTGCACCATTGCCTAAATTTTCAAAATATCGGGAGAGCATAACAACAAAGGGATAGCCTTAACTATGAAGAGAATCAAGGTGAAGAATCCCGAAATAATTTTGAAAATGTGGTCAAAGGTAAGAAATTATAGATGAAGAGGATATAAAGTTTCTGTGGAAGATAAAGATTTTAGTGAAGAGGTTCACGAAATAAAAAATAAACATAAAGATGTTGAGAAACAATAACAGAAATAACTAGGGTCTACCGAAGATGAACAAAGTGTGGTCGAAGATGAAGAGAAATATGTGGATGGAAGAATGTGAAGCAAAGAGGACAAAGTTAATAAAAACCAAAATTTTGTAATGCGAGAGTAAGGGGAAGCTGAAGTTAAAGACAAACGGGAAGATATAGTTGAGGAAGAAAACGGAGATGGGGATAAACAACTAGAAAACAGGAAGAAAGTTAACATAAAATAAGATAAAGGTAACTACGAAAATAAAGAAACAATACACATTAAACTAGACAATGAAGAATCAACAAGACGAATGTCTTCAAAAGGCAGTGAATAACAGAAACAAGTGAATGAAGATTAAGTAGTTATAATGAAAAATTGAGAAAGAATGATAAAAAAGTTATAAGGCAAAATAAAGGAAGATGGGTAGACGAAAAAATGCAAGAAATAGAGCAGGAAAGAACAAACAGAAATACGAAAAATTTTTACAAAAAGATTAAAGAACAAGACAAAAAATACAAATTCAAAACAAACAGAATAAAAAATAAAGAGGATAGAGGATCAGGAATACAAGCAAGTATGGACGGATTGCTATAGAGAGCTCTTGACGGAGGAAACAACAGGAGAAGAAATGAATAACAAGGAGGAAACGGTGCACGAAAAAGCAGATAAAGTAGAAATCGAAAATTCAAAAGAATCAACACTAGAGGAATTGGAGGAAGTAATACACAGAAGCAAAAATGGAAAATCCCTTGGTAAAGATGGAATTAATATGGAACTAATAAAATACGGAGAAAGGGAGCAGAGAGGAAAAATACTGGCACTATTGAAAATATATGGAAAGAAGAGAAAATACCAGGGGACTGGGAGGTAGGTCAGATCATATCAATACATAAAGAGGGAGACCAACAAATTTGTGAAAATTATAGAGAGATAACGTTACTAAATACAACATATAAAATATTGACATCAATAATAAAAAAGAGGAGGTAAAAAAAGCAAATGATGGAAAAAGCAAACGAATATACATTAGAATTGGAAATGTTATTCATACTTCAAACAGGCATTTGATTCAATTAAAGGGAAAGAATTAATGATAGCACTTAAAAAATTAAAAATTCCATATAAACTCAGAAAATTAATAGAAATGGCAATGATAATTACAAAAATTAGCAAAGAAACACAAAGGAAAGACAGAGGAATATTATTATATGCAGGAGAATCAATAACGATTGTCAAAAAAGACGAAGACTTAAGAATAGCGGAGAGAAAGATTATGAGAACCATACTGGCACCAATCAGAACAGAGCAAAATGAATATAGAAGTAGAAAAAATGCAGAGATTAAGGAAGACATCGTGGCTAAAATAAAGCGATGCAGAGCTGGATGGTTAGGTCACCTGTGGCGAGCAGGAAATGAAGCAAGGTAGAATGGAATCCAGGAGGAAGAAAGAGAAGGGGAAGACCAAGATCAAAGTGGCTGCAAGAAGTTGAAGAAGAACTCCAAAGGGTAGGAGTCAGAAAATGGTGAGGAAAAACTAGAGACAGGAAAAAATGGAGAGATATCGTCAAGAAGGTAACATAAACAAAAAGGTCTGATCCACCCAAGAAATAGGATCTAAAAAGCATTGTTCTGCAAAATACAATGAACAGAAACAGATTAATAAAGATAAAAAAATAAACGGCAAACAGAAAATTAATAAGCTCAATGATGACGATGAAAACAAGGATACATTAGAAATACATACAACGTAAGCAAGCAGACACAGATGAAGAACAGGAATATTATGAAAAAGACATTGAACAAGAACAGAAAAACATGGTAAGAATTAAGAAGTCGATATTGAAGGATTGATTGAAGATAAGGAAGACACATTTGAAGATAAATTGGACGATATAGCTGAAAAAACTGAATGTGTGGATAAAGAAATATTAGGCGGAGAGGATTTTAAAAATATAAGGATGAAAATAAAGGCAAATAAACATTAGCAATCGGTTTATTTGAAGCACATTTGGGAAGGACATTTCTTTGCATTCGTCGCTCTCAAAAGTAGAACATACAGACTATTCCGTAAAATTAAAATTAATAATCTTTCAAGAATATTTTTCAGTGTCAATGGTAAGCAAACACTCTTACCTCTTGTGACTAAGCAGGTTTAAACTTATTGTACTTATTTATTTGTTTACAGATCGTTTGAAAGCTGTCAGAATCCGAATTGTCAGTATTCAACTTGTTGTACGAATGCAATGCAAGAACACAACGCCAAATGTAGCAAAACCAACAACCCCATTGCCGAAGAGAAGCTTCCGTTCGAGATGTTCTGCATTTGCGGATTCAGTAATATTGATGGTAAGTAAAGCTACATATAATATGTACATACAATTATCAAAACTCTGGTTTCATTAGTAAGTTTCCCGGTACCGAAAGTAGATTTTACTTCAGGTTCAGAGAAAACTAAAAAACACATTTATTCGTAAACTATGATAGGTTTCATAACTATGATGATTTAAAAAGAAATATTTTCATTAGCATTGATAATGACTCGGCTTTATTATTACTTTCTTTTTTTAGGTAATCAAATGGCTAAGCATCTCGCTACCTGCGAGAGGAAATCCGCATATCCTTCGAGAACTGACGCCAGGTCTGCAACGGTGACACACAGCATGTTGGACGTCTTAGGGTTAGTAAGAAAAGCAGAAGAAATTCCAAAACCGACCGAAAATATTAAATCAGACGACTCGAAGCCCAAGCCAAGAACGGAAAAAAGGAAGAGGGCAAAGAACGAGGAAGAACCTGCAACAGATAGTGATAATGCAAAGAAAGACATTGTTGAAGTGAACGAAAAAGAAGATGAAACGGATAATAATAAGAGGAAAAGAAGGAGACTTCATATATATGAAGTTGGAAAAAAGAAAGAATCAACTAGTGATGTTGTAACTGTCGTGGACGACAAAGATGAAGTTGATAAAAAAGATGGTGAAGATATCCAAAAAGAAGAGACGAAAGACAAACCTGAACCAGTTGAAAAAACATCTGAAGAAAAAATAGAAAATAAAGATGTAGAACAGCCACTATCTGAAGATAAATCATCCGACTTGAAATCTAAAGACGATACACTCGAAACGGAGGAAAAACTAAAACTAGACGATACTGCAGAACCAATGGACACAACTGAAAATGTTGATGAAAGCGTCACAAATACAACGAAAGATGCTGATGGTGTTATACCCAGTGAAAATGTTGAAACTGAAGATTCAGAAAAAGAACAATCTAGCAATCTTCAAAATCATGTTGACGAATCAGAAAATACTTCAGAAGAAAAACAGGAAAGCGAAGAAGTCAAAGAAAATCTGGCTGACTCTAATGACGATAAGTCACAAGATACGGAAGCAGTGCACAAAGATAATGAAGAAATAAATCTGACGAAAGAAAACGAATTAGTAGATAAAGATGTTACTGAAATAAACGAAGAGGAGGAAGATATATCGTCTAAAAGCATTGTGCAAGATGAAGGCGATGAGAACGGTGTAGAGAATGAAACAGATAATAAATTACATGAAGATGAAGGTGATAATGAAGAATCGATAAGTGAAAACGTGTCTGAAGACAAAAATGACGACAATTTGGAAGAGAAATCGAAAGAAGAAAACTTAGAAAAAGAATCAAACGAAGAAGAGAATTTAGAAAAATCGATGGAAGAAGAATCGAGAGAAAATGAAGAGAGTCAAGAAGAAGAATCTCAAGATAATATCCAAAATACGAATAAAGACAAGGAAGAAATTGGAGATGAAGGAGAGTCAAAAGATAATGAATCTTTGGATGATAAGGAATATATCGAAGAGAGTCAGGAAGTACAAAATAAACACGAGGAAGAGGCTAAAGTAGACGACGATGAACTTAAAATGCAAAGCGAAGAAGACGCTGAGACGCGGGACGAAGAGATGGAAGAACAAGAAGAGAAACAGGTGGTTGACGATCAAGAATTGGATAAAGAGGATGGAACGACAGAAGATAAAGTTGATGGAACCAAAGACAAAGAGGAGGAAGTTAATGAAGACAAAAAGGAAGATATAAACGAAGAAAAAGAGGAAGATGAGGCTGAAGAAAAAGAGGAAGATGAGGCTGAAGAAAAAGAGGAAGATGTGGCTGTAGAAAAAGAGGAAAATGTGGCTGAAGAAAAAGAGGAAGATTTGGCTGAGGAGAAAGAGGAAGATGTAGCTGAAGAAAAAGAGGAAGATTTCGCTGAGGAGAAAGAGGAAGATGTAGCTGAAGAAAAAGAAGATGTGGCTGAAGAAAACGAGTTAGATGTGGCTGAAGAAAACGAGGAAGATGTGGCTGAAGAAAAAGAGGAAGATGTGGCTGAAGAAAAAGAGAAAGATGTGGCTGAAGAAAAAGAGGAAGATGTGGCTGAAGAAATGGAGGAAGATGGGGATGAAGACCAAGAAGATGTGAATGAAGACAACGAAGACGTTTTATTGGAAGACAAAGAGGAAGATGCAACTGACGACAAAGAGGAAGATGTAACTGACGACAAAGAGGAAGGCAACGTTGAAGATAAAGAAGTGGTAGCTGAAGAATGTGAAGATGACGATGAAGACAGAGAGGAAACTAATAAGGATGAAGATGACGACGAAAGCGAAGAAGTTGTGGATGTACATAAAAGTGAACAGACAAAGACAAATAAAGGAGATCTGAATGAGGTTACTGAAAATGAACAGGACGATTTAGAATGTTCAGAAAAACAATCTGAAGACTTAAATTCCTCAGAAAAACAGTCTGAAGATTTGGACATCTCAGAGAAGCAATTGGAAGACATGGACGTCTCAGAGAAGCAGTCGGAAGACTTGGACGTCTCAGAGAAGCAGTCGGAAGACTTGGACGTCTCAGAAAAGCAGTCTGAAGATTTTGATGTTTCCGAAAAACAATCCCTAGACTTTGAAGGTCCAGAAGACCGCGTTGATCTTCAAAACCACGTGACGGACGACAGTACGGAAGCAACAGAACGACCTGCAAACAAACAACCCGAGTTTTCCTCTGACGACCTACATAATATTTTATCTGGCGTGGTGGGTGAAACGGACAGTGATTCAAAAAATCCCGACGATGTAACGGAGATGACGACCGTTGCGGATAGTGGTGGGGAGGGCTCGACTCCGATGGACACTGATTGAAGTGCATAGAGTAGCGAATAATACGATGTATTTTTACGATTCAAGTAGCGAAGGGCATTTGGAAGGTATTTGAGTCAACATAGGAGATGTACTGAATGTAAAAAACAGAAAATAAAAAATAGGCATTCAATACTCAGAAATACGGTACTGTATCAGTCTGCCTCGGGAAATTTACAACTTCATTCAATACATATTTTTAGTTAGTCATTTAGTAGTCAACTCGGTACTTTTTACAAAATTTTTTTTAACAGATCGTTCTCACACAGCAGCTAAAGTTAATATATAGAGCAGTAAAGTTATATAATTTAATTTGTGATAATGCAGATACAATTTCTGAGTATGATAAAGGTCTCTGATACCGAACACACATTAATAAAAACAGTTGAGCTTATCTTAATACGTATAAGGTTTTTCTAATTAATTTCGCAGTAGCTTATCTAATAATGGTTCAATTTTATGATATCGCGACTTTGCAGCGTTGGCAAAACTTCGCAGGGTGAGAAGAAATCTCTAAAATTTAATTTTGCATCGTTTAATATGAATTTAATTTAGATTTCCAATTTATTTAATGTTTACAAAATTAGATTCAAAGATGTTCAAAAGAATACAAAAGAATGTACACTAAGATACTTGTTGTTTTTGGACCGCTGAATACGAATCCGGCATCAAAATTTGAATATTCAAATTGGCCGAACCAATATGAGCGAATAAACATTTTTTCAAAATTAAATATTGTTTTTTTGAGTCACAGAATACTAATTTGGTGCTTAAATTAACAAAATTTGAAGTGGAACACCAAAAAGTATTCAGAATATTCCCAATTTTTTTTTGTAAAATTAAATTTTTGAGATTTTTGAGTTGCTAAATGCGAATCGGATGTTACAACTTAAAATAGCGACCAAAATATATTGAAAACATCTGAAAATGTTTCTAGGCATATCAAATATGGCCATTAAAAATAATAAAAACAATCACTGAATACGATTTTGCTGTCAAAAGATTTTTTCGTACAAATGCAATTTTTATGTTTTTGGTTTGATGAAAGGAATCTCATGTCAAATTTTAAAAGTTGATGTCTGACAATATGGCGGTGCAAGAACATTAAAAATACTTTTAATTTGCTTTAGAATGAGTTATTTAGCTTTTTTGTCATTTAATGTCATTTTGGATTTATAAGTAGTTGAAAGTGCTTTGTCGGCATCAGATATGTCATTTACACACAGAATTAGTAGGAAAACTGAACGTAAAGCCATTTTAATACTCTTCGTATTATGATAAGCTCAAGATGTGTCCAAGTACTTACTGTAATGTGAAGTGCAATTGAAGATTTTATATAAAAATGAAAAATTTCTATTTAAATGTTTATCTTGATAGTTTATTTGTCGATATTTATCTTTTGGATATTGGATGTATCAACATTTTGTCTCGAATTATCTATACCTACCAACCCCTTCATGCTTTTATGCTGTGGATGTTGTTTTATAAAATTATTAGTCCAGTTACGAAAATATTTAAGGTCTTTATACATATCTTCTAATTTTTAACACAAAAATGACTTCCATCTTTAAATATTGACATGGAATGGAGAAGAAGGTCTAGACATAGTTGACAAATGACAGATTACTTCTATCTTCTAATTTTAAAGGTACATTAACGGATTTCTTGTTACCGAAGAAGTCACATGTTATCGTGTATGTTAAAAACATGACGGAGGCACGTGACAGTTGACACAGAAACTCCAAGAATAGTTGACAAATGACAGACATATATTTTTATATATTTTATCATTTTCAAAAATAGATTTTGTATTGATTTGTTATCTTTAAATCAGTTCCAATGTAAAAATTGCCACAACATGTGAAAGTTGACAGCTGGATAGAAGAGGAAAGTCTAAGAATAAAATTGACATGTGATTTAACAGAAAACAGACTAGCAAACAAAAGTATCTGATTGATGTGATGATTTTTAACAGCAGCTGTTACAGTGTCAAAATATTTTGTTTATCTTTGCACCACAGAACTATTTCAAAAATATTTTTTTTGTTTTTATTTAATTTTAAAAATCGTAGAGGAATACATTCTGTATTTTCAAAAGTCAAAAATATTTGTATATTATTACGGGAGAATGATTTTATCAACATCATCCACGCAGCAGCAGAATAACAAATTCTTTTCTAAACGAAAGGCAATGAGATGATGGTTTTAAAAACCTTTAGCAGGTTCCTAGTATGGGATCGTTCTGAGTAGACTGATATTTGGAAGAAGTTTATTGCCGACGCTATAAAGAGATGCGGATAAAAAGATGTAGTTATTGTGGCTTGTTTAACCTATTTATCAGCGTTTCGGGCGGCTCGTTATTGATTAGGATTCTGGAAAATAGACTAGTTATATACTATTCATTTGTATCTTGTACATGCAATTTGGTCACAGTTGCTTCCCAACGTCACTATGATTTGAAAGTATTTTTGTATTTTATGTAGTGTGCGCTGAATAAACGCCTTATTTCTTTGTAAAGTCTGCCATTTACTTTACAAAGAGTCATTTATTTAATCTAAAAACCTTCGGAGCCTTAGAGAAGTACCAATATGGATCAGAGAATTTTTTGTTGATAAAAAAATTCCGTGTCCAGCAAAATTTGAACCAGCGACAGTATTCGGATATAATAAACGTCTCTAAAGACAACTAAACCGCCTTTATATAATAACAAGGCATTTACTCTACACATACGGTGCATAAAACTCGAGAACTACTCACAAAAGGTCTATTTTGCGAAACCATTACTAATTACAAAGAAAAGACTTTTTGTAACGATATATCTCTATACGGATGTGTCATATCTTTCCCATTTGAGCCTCCAAAGACTTTGTATTTCAGGTTTGTTGAGAATGGTGAAAAAAGCAGTTACAAATTAAAAAAAAAGTACTAGTTCGCTGCTATTACTGCTGTGGACATGTCACAGGCATTGCGGCAAAGGCCAAAGTGACCTTCCAGAGAGCTAGTCATTAACTGAACGGCCACATGTAGCTTAAAGACCGTATTCTCATTCGTCCAATTAATTATTTTAATAGGGTTGTCTGAAGTCTTTTTGTTACCCGCATAGTGTCAAGTTTAATATCTCTACACGTTTGAAATAGTACTTGAATAAAGAAATAAAGTTGTCATATATGGTTTATTGAAGCTGCAACAACTACACAGTCTACATCTCTCAAACAATGTTGTAATTAGGTGTTTCCTGTACATAGTAGCTTGTAAGAGATTTTTTTTTGTAAAAAAGTGCTGTTCTATAGATGTAATCATCCGCAAGTAAAAGACTCGAGGAGGTTAGAGTGGTTAGAGTTTATGGATATTTAAATAAATATATAATTTTCCAGAGTGTGTTGGAAAACTTTGTCGATTATGAAAAGTGTTTGCTTTACTCAAAGTTTAGAATGGCACGATTGATAAAAGTAGAAAACTTTTTATATTCTTCCAAGGCTAGTTGTAAAAATAGGCATTGGTCAATGTGTAAGCACAACACACTATTTTATTTTCCTCCTAATGCTATTAGCATCCGTGATTGGACATATTGTTCCCTCAATATACATAAATCCCTGCTTCATCATCTATTTTACTAAACTTCCGAGTCAACGCTTTCTGGACCGTCCCAACGAACTTTTTTCTACCGGTATAGTTGTTGTTATTGTGTTACACATAATCCAAGGATATGATAGTAGAAGTTATAAGGGCGAAAAATGACTAGAGAACATGACGCCTTGTTTGTTAATCCCAAACACCGTCCAACGCTAGACAAGATCTCTGAGGTTATTTGTTCGAATTTTATATTTTTCATATTGATTTACAGCTTCAAAAATGTTTGGAATTGGTTTATTTTCCATATTTTCAGCAGATTTTTGTGTTCGTCAACGATTGCTTATGCGCCTGAACGACTTTTTCAAAATTTGTCCTCTACAGTCAATTCTACTTCAGCATCTAGTCTAGGCGGGATCTGTTTTGGATTGGAAATTTTCGAGGGAAGCTATTTTTTGCTGGAATCCCTTCAGAATATGTCCAGTATCGATAATCACGATATGCGCCAGTCGCAAACCCTGTGCTAAATTTTTTATTTAACAAAATCTGAAAACAATTGAAAATTTCTCATTTTTTTGCTCCTATTTTCATTTATAATTCGAAAAATATTGATCTTAGAGAAAAAATTATAAGTGGTTAAAAGTTTCGTTATTAAATTTTACACAATATTTTGTTAGCTATAAATTGAAAATTTAATGGTTATTGTTGAAAAAATAGCAATAATTGGAAAAAAAGTTCAAAAAATGAAGTTAATCCTTTAAAAGTTTTACGTAATGCGCTTCATGGCAACATCCATAAAAAAGACAAATAAAAAACCGTTTTCGCGTAATATGTCGCTCGGAATGCATGAAATGTGGTGATGAGGGACATTCACCTCAAATGTGAATTGGCGAGTATCAAGTAGGGGACCATCAGTTTGTTTAATTTCGGGTTTTGAAATATAAACAAAAGTAAAGTGCTCCAAAATCTGTAAGGTCTTGTAAAGTAAATTGTTACTTTTGGTAAACAAATATGTATTTATAAATTGTTAATAAATAATTTGAATTGTTAAAACGAAGGAAATTTTTTTTTTTGTAAAAATCAAACATTTTAAAATAATTAACATTAAAAATAATTTATTTCTGCAGTTTTATCATAATAATGAGATTATTTGATTTGAGAATATATTTTGATTCGAAAGTGACGTGTATATTGTATATTGACGAGTTATTATACTGCTGTGTCGTAATGCTCGAAATTGTTTTTTTTTGAGCTTGCAATTTATACATTGAAGTAAATTGTTACTTTTAGTAAACAAATATGTATTTATAAATTGTTAATAAATAATTTAAATTGTTAAAACAAAGGCGAATGAAACAAAAATATTCTTTTCATAAATAATCTTTATTTTGATTCAATCTTCAATAATTTTTTTCAAGTCTTTTTCTTTTTTTGGAAGGACAAGAATCTTCAGGTTTTATTTCTTCCTCAAAACCTTCCTTTTCCATTTCAATATCTTCATCCTCAATCTGTAAATTTAATGTTTCTTCTCCGTCATCTGTAGCTATATCTTGTGCCTCCAAAAAATCTAAGGAATACATCGACTCCATATCCATATCTCGTTCAACTTCTTCCAATATTTTATTGTGATCAATATTTTTACATGTTTGACCATTGCAGTGAAGACAATAGTCAGAACATTTGAGACCATGTTTGATACAACTGCATGTTTTTGTACAAAGTTTTTTACATTTGCAACTAATATTTCTGAATAATGAGTCAGGTAGTAATACTTGCTCAGTTTGTATTGGCTCAAGACCATTTTGAGTTAGTTCCCACCCCCACTCAGTAGCATTCAGGTTGTTTCCAAGCCACTGCTGTACTTGGAAATATACACGAAGCGAGTGTTGCTCAGCTGCAGATTGTGTAGGTGGCAGCATGGACAATTGAAAATTTTTATTTTTTAACCTTTTTTAAAGCACAAGTAGCGAATTTTATTCAATGTAAAATCGCACTTTGAGTGGCCCATATACAATGCCGATATAATTTTGCATCCGCTGCGTTTAATTTCTTCCTAAGTGGCACTTTTTTCATTAAAAATGGTTGCTTCTTGCCATATATCATTATTTGTTGAAACCAATTTAACAATTTTGCTTTTTCCTTGATAAAAAAATGCAGAGGTTGTATCACAACCAGAAAATGCGTGTAAAAAGCCCACTAAATTTTTTAACGAAGATTTCGTAGATTCACTTATTTTAAGTGCATTATTGAAAGAGTTGTAGTCATAAATTTCTTCCGATTTTTTTCCTTTGCTAGGTTTCCAGAAAAAAATATTTTTATTTTCAGTTACTTTTTGTAAAAATATTACCAGAACATCAATATCCTCTGCAATTATAAAAACTGGCTTGTTATCAGAGGCTAATATATACTTGATACTCGCCGATTCACATTTGAAGTGAATGTCCCTCATCACCACATTTCATGCATTCCGAGCGACATATTACGCGAAAACGGTTTTTTATTTGTCTTTATTATGGATATTCCCATAAAGCGCATTACGTAAAACTTTTCATATAAAAAGTATTTGACAAGACGAGGGTATTTGTTTAAAAACGAGCCCTCTATCACTTATGGTTACACGGCAAATGTATGTCAACTTTGACCTTCAATATCTCGGCAACTAGTAAGCCGAATGTATCTTTTTGTTTTTTAAAAGAAGCGTCTTTTAATGTTCTTTAAGTGTATACATTTTGAAATTGATATGTTTAAAGCTCGTAAAGTTATTTAATTTGTTTATAAGCCTAAAAAATGTTTATAACTTTAAAAAAAATTTATAGGCTTTCCTAGTAAACCGATTTTAATTTTACAAAAAGCGTTTGACAGTGTGAGACTTCCTTTATATGTAAAAAAAATTGCAACTATCTGCGGGTCTTATTTAGGGCCTACTATGAATTTGAAAATTTGCGATTTTTTTCCAGTAGGCTGGATTGCAAAATTATTATGCAAAACCTATCTGACCGATCTTAACAAAATTTAGCACACGTTTTAAACATATTAAAAAGTTTTTCTAGGCGGAATATGGAACTTGTAAGTCAAGTTTAGAAAGTCGAAAACATTTAAAGGATTAACTTCATTTTTTTGTACTTTTTTTTCCAATTATTGCTATTTTTTCAACAATAACCAATAAATTTTCAATTTCTAGCTAACAAAATATTGTGTAAAATTTAATAACGAAACTTTTAACCACTTATAATTTTTTCTCTAAGATCAATATTTTTTGAATTATAAATGAAAATAGGAGCAAAAAAAATGAGAAATTTTCAATTGTTTTCAGATTTTGTTAAATAAAAAATTTAGCACAGGGTTTGCGACTGGCGCATATCGTGATTATCGATACTGGGCATATCCTGAAGGGATTCCAGCAAAAAAATAGCTTCCCTCGAAAATTTCCATTATTGTCTGAATTTCTACAGATGCCGCCTAGTCTAATCGTCATTGTTTCGATTTGTCGATTACATACCTGTCCGATTTATGTTTTTGCTATCTATCTGATCTCTATTACGTATTTATCAAACTCATTTCTTTCTTAATTATTTTTATTCCTTCATAGAGCCCAATATTCGATTCCTGATATCACTGATAGTGCTAAAATAAAGGCCGACTAGAGGAAGTTCTTATTAAATGAAAATACTTGCAATTATAATCATTGAACCACTAGGGAGGGGACTCCATTCAGGCAACCGCGATTTTTGTGTAACTGTTGTGGTTCTCCAATAACCTCAAATGATGGATGACTTTTAGTTGAAAGTGAACTAAACGCTGATATCTATACCTGATCAATGATCAATTCTCAGCTCAATATTTCATTGTGATGTCCTTGGCATTTGAGTTCAGTGGTGGGGCTGCTGGACATCCAGATTTGTCTGTCCCATGTGATGATAGATAATTGTTTTAACTCTTAATATTCAGTATTGTGCGAATTGATGTGAACAAACAGAATTAATTTGTAAATATGATTTATTTAGGCAAAAGGTAAATTTAGGTATACTTACATGAGATTTTTTCATTACTTAGTATTTAATATGTCCTCCTTTTACTTTCATGACTTCCTGGAGTCTTCCAGGCATGAAATTCACAAGTTTTTTGCAATTGTTTGGGATTGCTTCATCTCTAAACCACACCTTAATCACTGCTTCCACCATTTTTGTTTTTGTCGTAAAGTCAAATTTTTGCAGTTTAGCCTTACATATTGTCCACAAATTTTCAACAGGATTAAGGTCAGGTGAATTCTCAGGCCAACCAAGAAGGGTAATATTATTATCCTTTAAGTATTTCATCATAACCTTCGATACATGGCAGGGAGCTGAATCTTGTTGAAAAATTACAGCCCCTTCGGCCTATACTTTGTCAAGCTATATAGCTAAGCGTTGCTCTAGCATGGCTTTGTACTTTTCACTGTTCATCATACCTTCAATAGGAATAAAAGTGCCAGTTCTTGAGTATAAAAAACAGCCCCAGAACATTTTTTTGGTGGGATGTTTAACTGTTTGGTTAATATGTCACACTAAAAGTCACTCATTGGCTGCCTTTCGTACGAATTTTGATCGCTGGCCTGCACTAGGAAGTGGGTCTCATCAGAAAATAACACTTTTCTCCAATCTTCTGCACTCCAATGAGCGTATTTTTTTGCCCAAATTAGTCTTTTTTTCATCATAAGCTGCCAGAGCTGCGGTCTCACAGCTCTTCTCCCTCCTTCTAAGAGACGTCTGCGTACCGTTGAATCTTGAATTTTTATTCCAGCCTTTTCTAAATCTTGCTGGAGGTCATAACTTTCTTTTTCTTGGATGAAGTTTGCTATCGCGCAAAAGAAAAGCATCTCGAGGAGTAGTCTTCCGTTTTCTTCCACATTTTCCTTTCCGCTGTGCTTTCTACTGACCCTGTTTCCTTTTCTTGTTTAATTATTTTGTTTACTGCACCCAAACTTACACAACACTCCTTTGCAATGTCCCTCTGAGTCACTGGTGTATGCTCACTAAGTGTTATGATCCTTTCTCGTTTTCTAGGAGTGATATCCATATTAAAAAGTTAAACCTGATTGAACAGTTAAATCAATGGAAATAACACCAACTTGCTCATAACTTGAGATAAAACAAAATATAATAATGTATAAAACACAAAGCACGTGTTTGGAACAATATACTAATAATGTTTTGAGGTTAAGTTGTTTTTTTGACAAAACAGTTGACAGAATAGGCACAGCAGGCCAACTTATGAAAACTGAATTTCGATCTGTGTTTACATTAATTCGCACATTACTGTATGAATGTTTCCTACCCTCTTCTAGGTAGGCGTCTAATAAGAGACAGTAACTCTTCCTGAGTGCCCTCTGCCTATTTATCTGGCATGGTGATTTATTATTTT